CTTTGTGCTGAGCAGGATCTGGCCTGCAACCCCGTCATCTCTTTGCAATGCCCCTGACTCCAGGGGCAGGATTTCCCATTTTAATAATGATGCCTTCTTTTAAATGTGAATCAGAGAAAGCTGCGCTAACTCACCTGTGATTTCATAAACTATTGTGTAAGATGAGTGAGGTTAAGGAGGGCCCTTCATTGAAAAGAGGTGAGTTTATTTTTAAAACTGCAGTAAATTGTAGAGGGAGCAGGTCACAGCAGAAAGGGTGAGAATAGAGCCTCTGTCCAGGTCTCTCCTTCATTGTCCATGGTGAGATCTCAGCTTCAGAGAAGGGTCTGGACAGCCCCACTGAGCTGCCTGCCTCTAGGCAGCCCCCACCTGTCCCAGCGCCATCATAAACCCACAGTCTGCTGTCTCCAGGACCTCATACCCAAATCAGACATTCTGGGACCTAAGTACCCTGGGTGGGTGGAGGCTGTTCTGTGCCCCAGGCTGTGGGGTCCTGGAATTGGCTGCCTGCTGTAGGGGGTTTTCCTTGGGCCTGGGGTATCCATAGCTGGTGCCTCCCACCTGTCCCTTTGTCCTATTCTTCGACACATGTAACTGCATGTTTATGTTTTCTCTATAGTTTCCTACTCCTCTTGTCCCCCTGCTGCATGCCCCTCCCCTTCCACAGCCCTTCCTGCATCCTTGATCCCTGGTGGCCATCTGGTGCCTGAGTGAGGTGTATGGATGCTCGCCATGAGTAATGTTGAGACAGAGCAGCACCAGATACCTCTACCCTTGTACGCTTATCATGCAGAGATATACTGGACTCAGCCCATGGACCCCACTTTAGGGTGCAATAGTAGGCTAGGAATGTGCCACCCCCAGAGCTGGGGTTGAGCTTGGGTTCAATTTTCCATATCTGGGAATAGCTAGGGGGCTTTTCCCATCAGAGGGTCAGTGGGCTGTTGCTCCCCTCTGGGACCACTTGTTCCTGAAGCCCCTGTCCTGGACTGGTTCCCTTGCTTGGAACAATTCTTAACAAAGATTCTTAAAGAGGTTTTGGTTTAATTATTGACCAAATGGGGCTGGAGAAGGCCCCTGTCAGGTTGAACCCCAGGACTGGTAACGCTGATTCTGGGCACATTTTCTAGTTGTTCAGACTCTTCTCTGCCCCCTGACTGGACTCAGGGTAGCCAGGCAGACTGCTCTTGGGGGTTGGTGTGCTCTTGCCTACCTGGCTGAAGGGAGCCAGCTACAGCATCCCCAGAGGGCAGTGAGGGTGGCCCCTGGGTCTGAGGATTGAAGCCCTTGCTGTGTGTCTGCTTGGGCAGAGCTGGCAAATAGGAGAGGCCTCCTGGGAGAGGGCTGGCCTTGGGCCCACTTCACTGATCTCTTGGTCAACACCAAAAGAAACTGCATGTTTCCCTGCAACCCTGGAGAGGCCATTGAATCAGGGCTGTCCTCTGACCTGCTTGGACTAGCTGCCACAATGGCAGACTGGGCATTTTTCCTGTAAGAAGAGGAGCTGTGTTATCAAAGAGTGCTTTAACTTTTACAGTCTGATTGATTCATACTCTCTTTTGGGGAACAGGATTCTCTAATTTATGCAGCACAGGGACTGGTGGGAGGAAAGCCCGTGTATGTGTAGGGGGGCACGGGGATACAAGCTCATGTCTGGGTGGTGTGTCTGGGCTGGGTGAGCCTGTGTGTGTGTAGGTGCACTGTTTGCACTGCCACGTGTGTGAGCAGTCAGAGCAGCCCGAGCAGCCCACCCTCTCAACACTGAACTTCAAGAGCACTTGACCAGCAAGTCTGGGAGTCTTTAGAGAGCAGATGCTTCCTTCCCTGTGGCTCATGACTTTGAGTCGTCTTAGCACATTAATGAATTCACCCCCCAGTCCCAGACAGTGGGATGTGCCAGTCACTGGGCTGGTTCTGCCCCCAGGAGTCACTGATCTGATGGTCCCACCAGCCGTCAACCAGCAGGGACCGGGGCCTGGCCAGCCCTGGGAGAGGACGCCAGGCAGCATGCCTGCAGGTGGCCCTGGGCAGTGCTCTGGGACATGTTACTGACCTTTCAAGTGATCAAGCAGCGAGTCACCTGGTTAAAAATAGCCAGGCCGCTTAGACTCTAAAATCAGGTCTGGTCCCACCTCCACCCCTAGCCCAGTTCCAGAGGCACTGTAGATAGATTCTGGCTCCATCTTCTTTCCGTGTCTTTGGTTGGTCACCTTTAGCTTGTGTCTGTAATGGAAAATGGAGACTGAAGCATAGCAGGGTGCATTACTCTCTTGATTTTTGTCGTGTTATTTATAACATGAGCCATTTGCTCTGACGTTATGATGAAACCTTTTACTCGTTGGTTTGATGCAAAAATATGGGCAGAAACCAATTTATACTATAAACAGTTCAGTGAGTTTCCTCTCGAATCAGGGACCAGGCTTCAGGGACAGGAATTGTAACTGAAACTGCCCCATGCTGGCCGCCCGCTGGGCAACCCCCTTCTCTCTAGTTTCCCTCATTGACCACTGGCCCAGTCTTTTCCCTTCCTTCCTGTGTGTGGTGTTGAGGAGAGTGACCTCAGAGTTCTGCGTGTCTGAGAACATGTCTGGAGCTGTGTGGTCTATGGACTGTCAGCTGGTGTGGTGCTCAGCATCGGAAGGGCCCTGTGTTGCCGGTGAGCCTCGGGTCTCTGGGTGCTCCTGGGCAGACAGGACTTGCTCACTGTTCTCAGAATCACTGGGATGCTGGGGGAGGGTCATTTTCATTTTTCTGAGCTGCTGTGGCCAGTCTTATTCTACATAGTTCTTCAGCTCAAAAATGCTGATCCGCTACCCCCTTCTCCTTCAACATATGTCTTTTCTCTTAGAATTGCTGCTACCTGCTCTTTGAGCTTTCTGCTTGTTCTTCCATGTCTCCTGTTTCTTTTGTAGTTTCTGTCTTTCTTCAACTTCTCTCATCTGGTCTTTGGATATTTCTACCTTAGCATTTGGAAGATGGTGCTCCAGACACTCAGATCTTTAGTGTGTGGACAGATAAGCTCTGACTGCTCGTGTGGGGTGTGGGACATTGTAGACCTTGGGTGCTTGGCTCACTCCTCATGTGGGGTGCTTTGGGGACTTGACCTCGTGAGTCCTAAGAGGGAGCTTGTTCCTTTTTTTCAGCGTCCTGTTCTGGTTTGGGCACACTGTGGTGTGTCTCCACTCATCTGGTGAGAGCTATTTCTTCTGTTCCCTTTAAACAGTTGTGGGTGGGGCTGCAGGAACACCAGGGCTGTGTGTGTTCCTGTGTCTCAGGTGGGTGCTGGGAGAAGCAGGCCAGAGCAGGTGTGGTCTGCTGCAGGCCCCTCCAGCAGCCTTGTGCTGGGGCTAAGAGGCATCCTCCCACCAAGCACGTACTGTGGTCCATCCTCTTACTCCAGATGCCTGGTGGGGTGGGGTGGGTCTCTGTGGGGCTGCATCTGGTAATCATTATTCCAGGCACCTTTCCATGTGCTTAATTGCCCTTTCTGGGTCTGCTTTTGTGACATACCTGTTCATATCTTTTTTATGATCGAGTTCTCTGTGTGTCCTGGGTCTGAGATGCTGGTGAAATATATTGAGAATAGCTGCTCCAGTTGGCAGCTTTTATTGTCTTCAATAAATTATTTTTGATGAGCAGAGCATGTTTTTCATGTTACTATCTAGATTAAACACTGACTTTATTTGTACTTAATGTTTCATTGGATTATAGAATCTCTCTCTTTTAAAAAAAAAAACTGAGCTTCAATTTGCAAGATCTCTTTCTTGATTTTCCTTTTTAAGTAGAAGCTGCTCTGAATTATGTGTGTCAACATTTTGGATCCTTATGAGGACATGAGTTGGAATCTTTTGAAGTTGACCTTGGTCCCTGAATTATTTGTTTTTCTGAGATTAGCCATGCTGAAGTTTCTTCCTGTAATTTCTTTGCTCTCTGGCCATCATGCCCTCAGTGCCACTTGAAGAGGCTAACGTGGTAGTGTTGGGTGGGGCTGGGAGGGGAGGGGTGGAGAATGATGATGCAGCTGCTTGGGCTCTTACTTCTCACACGGATGAAGGTGGACAGGAGCCATGGCCCACCTCTTCTCCATGGGTGGTCTGGGATTTGGCTGGGTGTTCTGTGGGTCTTCCAGAAGGACCCCAGGAGTTTGGCCTTTGTGTTCCTTCGTTCTGAAGTTTCTGTCCACCTGAATCCTCTATTGCTCTCTCCCTTCCCTTTGCTCTTTGGTTACATTGTGGCTTCCTCCTGGGATTTGTATGCTCTGTTCTGATATCCAAGGCTTCTGGTGGGGGAGGGCGTCAGCATGGGCTCTGTGGCCTGTGACACTGGGGACATGTGTTCAGATGAAGGAGATAAGGCCTGATTGGGGCCTTCAAGGGCAGATTCTCCCATGAGATGAAGTGGAAGCATAGAGCTCTCTGGTTTAGCTCAGCACTCACTTTGTGTGGGTTTCAGGAAGGGAAAGGCCAGGATCATGTTGCAGGGCTGTGCAAAGGGTCTGGGGTGGTGAGAGATGGGGGCTTAGTTGGGCAAATGGGGGATCCTGGAGTGTGTCGGCCACTTCTGGCACCACCGTGGGCTCAGCAGGATCCTTGTGCTCCTCCACTTCTCCTGGTTTTCTGGTTCTAATCTGCTGTAGATGTGTCCTCAAAGTCGTGTGGAAATTACAAGTGTCTGATGTGTCTTTTACAATCCTCAGTAAGTGATGTTGGGGAACAGACCTTAGTTGTTTCCATGGAAATAGCACAGGAGTATTGCATGGTGGGTTTTGAGTGTCTTTTCCTTGAGTTCATTGTGCTGGAGCTCATTGGGGTCGATGAGGCCTCAGGGATCTCTGAGGGGAGTATCTTGGCCTGTACCCAGAAGGCTTCTGGGCTCCTTTGGGTCATGTTGTTACCTGTGCCATTCTCTGGATGGCAGGTCCCCACTGGGATGGTTGACCCACCCAGGGCAGGCATGGCAGCAAGGTTGTGCAGGTGTCCCTAACGTGTGTCTCTTTCTAGGACCGGAAGCTCACCAAACTAGAGCGGCAGCGCTTTAAGGAGGAGGCTGAGATGCTCAAGGGCCTGCAGCACCCCAACATTGTGCGCTTCTATGACTTCTGGGAGTCCAGTGCTAAGGGCAAGCGCTGCATCGTGCTGGTGACTGAGCTGATGACTTCAGGGACGCTGAAGACGTGAGCTCACTGTCCAGCCAGGCTTCGGGTGGGGCTTGTCCCGGGCACGGGGGCCACCATAGCTGGGCGCCCGCATATCCTATCTGCCCGGGGCAACACACATGAGGCATGTGGCCCTCCAAAAGGTGCACGGCCCCCTCTCCACAAACCACATGGCTCCCACAGGTACTTAGCCCCCTCCTCATATTAGTTCTCCTCCGACCCCCCACTGGACCCTCCCTGCTTGAGCCCCATTCCTGCAGGTACACAGCCCCTCCCCACACAAGCCACATGACCCCCCTCTGCAGGTACCTGAAGCGTTTCAAGGTGATGAAACCCAAGGTGCTGCGCAGCTGGTGCCGGCAGATCCTGAAGGGCCTGCTGTTCCTGCACACCCGGACACCCCCCATCATCCACCGAGACCTCAAATGTGACAACATCTTCATCACGGGGCCCACAGGGTCTGTGAAGATTGGAGACTTGGGCCTGGCCACCCTCAAGAGAGCATCTTTTGCCAAGAGTGTTATAGGTGAGCCCTCCTTCCCACACGCTCACCACACTCCCAGCCACACTCTGACCCTGGGTGATCTGCATAAGCCCCTGGGTGTGTTTGTGTGAATCCCTGCATCGTCTGCACATGAGTCCCTGAGTTGTCAGTCCCTGGACTCTTTGGAGGCCACAACTCACCCCAGATTTGGCTTAATCAAAGCCCAAAAGGCTCTACACTCATGGAGAATGAGGACTGATTAGTGAGTCTCCCTAAGTAGGCAGCCCTGTCTTGAGCAAGGGGCCAACAAATGAAAAGAGAGAGGGGTTCGTGATTATAAGGGGGGGGGAGGTTCAACCCAGATATGTTAATGGGGATCACTAGGCCTGTGAACTAGAGCTCCTAGCCTGTGTAAGGAGGCACATTAATGGGGCCTGCTCTGTAATATATCCAGGGCACCCACAGAGGCTGGTCCTGGACCACCTCCTGGGTGCAGCTATCAGACGGGACTTTGTAGGTATTTTGGTAGAACTTTAGAGGTGGCACATTCAGGACACCCATGGGCAGTGGACCTCCCAGGTGTTTTTCACATGGTGGTGGGGAAGGACAAATGAACGATTGGGTATGTTCCCATTGTTTGTTTCCATCTCTATGAATCTGGTACCCTTGGGGGCCAAGAAGGTACCTGCTGTCTAGAGGGCATGGATTCACATGTGTGCTTGTGGGTGTGTAGTACACTTTTCTATTCAACATGAGATTTTTTTGTTGTTGTTGTTTATATAGTTTTATTTTTTTTTTATTTTTTTTTAATTAATAAATTTTATTTTTATATTCCCCATACAATTGCAATCCCCCCATTCTGACCCCAATCCCTCCCCTCCCGCCCCCCACCCCCCAAAAAGTGTCTCTGGTTCATAGTTTTTGTTGATTTTGATTTTCACTTTCTTATAGTTATTCATTTTCCTGGTCCCTTATTTAAGTTTTCTAGATCCCTGCTATGAGTGAGACCATCCGGTATTTTTCTTTTTCTTTTTGGCTTATTTCACTGAGCATGATCCCTTCCAGCATCATCCATGTTGCTGCAAATTGCATGTGTTTATCTTTTTTGAATGCTGAGTAATATTCCATGGTATATATGTACCACATCTTCTTGATCCAGTCATCTATTTTTGGGCATTTGGGCTGTTTCCAAAGCTTAGCTATTGTAAACAGTGCTGCTATAAACATAGGGGTGCAGGTGTTCTTTGGAATTGATGTTTCTGTGTCCTTTGGGTAAATACCTAGGAGTGGAATTGCTGGATCCTGTGGAAGCTCTATGTTTAGTAGTCAACATGAGATTTTTTTTTTAAAGATTTATTTATTTATTTGTTTATATAAGCACTGGGTACAGTCAGAAGCGTGGGAGGGTGAGAGAATTCACCAGAGCCAGAGCGGGGAGCAGAGCAGGCAGAAAGACCGAAGTACACTGCTGAGGGGAGCAGCGGGTGGCAGGAGAGGTCTGCGTGCCATGCGGGACCCTCCTCCAGTGGTGGGGAGCCTCCGGGGATGGAACCTGCGCTGCAGAGGCTGCGGGCAGCTTCACAACCCAGCGCTGAACCGCTGTGCCACCGGGGAGGCCCTGTTCAACATGAGATTTAAATGACTACATGAAGACAGAGAAATGGTTTGAGTATGTCGAGCACGTATACAGATGTGGGCATCCATTGTCTCATCTTGAAGCTGAGCAGTGGCCCCACACATGCACTGCCTACCACCAGCCCCAGGCTGTCAAGAATGCCTTGGGTTGCTTCTTGCCTAACAGTTTCCAGTGGTCTCAGAAGAACCCGAACAGGGGGAGGGAGCCCTGCCAGAGAAGTAGGGGTCCCTGCTGGAAAAGCAGGGTCCTCACTGGGTCTCAACATGGCAGGTCTCTACAAAGTGAGTAGGGGTCTTTGCTGGGCTGCTCAGTCCCAGGCTTTCCTGCTAGCAGACCTGGAGTTCCTTCAGTAGAATCATATGATCCCTAAACCCAAAAGGATAAACTAACCAGAGAAGGTCCCTTGGACTCTTGTTCTTTCTCTATTCACTTCCCCTTATTTCTGATGGAATCTTCCAGAATTCTTTATGCATGTCTGTAAATCTAAACATAGATTTTTGTTTTACCAAAAATGTTAGCTTTTTTTTTTTTGGTTAAACATATACTATATATTATACTGAAATTATGGGTAAATGAACAGAAATTAAGATCACCTATAACCGACCTGCATCCCAGAGAGTGTCTCTGTGGCCGTTTTGATGGCCCCTATATGCTTTAAACATAATAGTTTGTTTTGTATCTGCTGCTTTGCATCTGCTTTTTATAAAAACTGTAGAATTTTTAAAATCTTCAAAGACCAACAAAATAAAGCCATAATAGCTCCTTTTTTCTGCATTCAGCTTCACAGATACTCAGTTGGACCTGTTTATAAAAGGATTTGTGATTTTTAAAGCACAAGTTTGTCATAGAAAACTTAAAAAAACTCAGACCACCACAACCCCACCTCCCAGATGTGCTCTGTGGCCTGTGTGTGGCACTTTATCTGGCGTTAGCACATGTATTGTTTTAATGAACTGGGGCTTAGCGTCCCATTTCCCCAAACATTCTAAGTGTGAACATTAGACATTTTAAAACTGGTGGCTAGAATGCATGAGCAGTTTCCCGTGTGACACCCACCTGGCGCCTTCCCGCTGGTCCTGCCACCCACTGCCTGATGCTCTGTGTGTGGTGTGCCCATCTGCGGACATTCCAGTCTATCCGTGAGGTTTTGCAATTTAAGGAGTTCTGTGGTAACCAACTTGTTTCACCTGGTCCATCCCACGACTTATGCACTGGGGGTGCTGCCTCCCTCCCAGGAGGCCTCTTGGTGCTCTGTGCTCAGCCCCATGCCCAGGTATGTAATGGTCTCTGGGTGCTGTGGCACCAGGGCACTGTGAGCCATTTCTGACCCTGAAACAAGAAATCCAGGGGAATTTTTGGAACTTGTGTCTGCAGGACACTCCAGTTTGAACCAGGATTCCAGGAGAATGGTGGCAGGTGGAAGAGGAGGGCCGCAGCAGGCAAGGGGCTCTGGGGCTGGGGCTGCTGACCCTGTGTCTGTTGCCCTGCCATAGGCACCCCTGAGTTCATGGCGCCAGAGATGTATGAAGAGCACTACGACGAGTCCGTGGATGTCTATGCCTTTGGGATGTGCATGCTGGAGATGGCCACCTCCGAGTACCCCTACTCAGAGTGCCAGAACGCTGCCCAGATCTATCGGAAGGTCACCTGTGTGAGTGCATGGTCCCCAAGGTGGCCTGCAGCCTGGCTGGGCACTGTGTGCTTCATAAATCCTTTCCATATCCATGCAAGGATGGGAATAATGCCTTTTTACACAAAGGGAAACTGAGACCTAGGGGGCACGCTCGGGTCTTTGCGACTGCATTAGGAAGCACAAAGCCACCCAAAGGGCTCAGCACAGTGCCTGGAGATGTCAAGGACATCACAGAAGGCACACACACCTGTCCTAAGTCCCCCAGTTTGGGCCATCCTGTGCTGTAGACTTTCCAGTACTCTCCTGTCACCAAGCCCTTGGCCTCAGCTCTCCTCTGATGGCTTCAGCTGTGCAGGCATATCTTCCCATCCTCCTGCAGAATCCTCTGGGTAGGGAGCAGAGTGGGCATCAGGATAGCTGGGACCAGGATTTTCCGGGTCCTGGTCCATCACCTTTTGACTGCCTCCTTTCTTATTAGTCCTAGATCCTCCCCTGTACTCATCCAGCCCTCAGAACAGCCCTTTTCCCTCATCTAGCCGCCAGACCTTACTCCTTCCTCATTCAGTGCCAAGATCTTTCCCATTTCCTCATCCAGCCCCTCATCTTCCCCCTTCCTCATCTAACCATCAGACCCTCCCTTTTCTTCATTCAGCCTCCTAGATTCTCCTTTTTCTTTAACCCCCAGACTCTCCTCTAGTTGTCATTAGACCCCAAGACCCCCCTCCCTTTCTCATCTACCCCATTCCTCATCTAGCTCACCGATCATCCCCCTTCCTCATCAACCCAAGACACACTGGCCACTGGCTGGTGTGTGACATGGTGGTCCTTCCTCGGGCATTGGGTGTATTTCCTGGCCTCTCTGAGATCCCACCTTTCTGACTCTCCCTGGCTGGGGGCTTAGAGTGAACTGAGCCCCAAACGAGCCTTCTACCCAGCAGCCCATTTGGTATGAAGTGACTCTGCTCTAATGTCATTTCAGGGCATCAAGCCGGCCAGCTTTGAGAAAGTGCATGATCCTGAAATCAAGGAAATTATTGGGGAGTGTATCTGCAAAAACAAGGAAGAAAGGTGAGTCCCAGGTGGAAAGGGGGGAAATAAATAGCATTTAGGTGTGCAGATTTGGGCACAGTATGGTTACCATAGCAATGCTCAGTAACCCTATCATCCCACATCTTGCTTCTGGAGGTCAGTATCCCCTCAGGTAAGGGGTGGTGGGGGTGGTGGGATGGTATCTGCTTCCTCAAGATCCAGGTCCCTCTCACGTGCAGCCACATCTCTTGTGATAACTAAATGCTTACTGTGCCACAGCTGGCTGTATCACATGGTGGGAAGCCTGACTTAACTTCTTTTCTGAATTCCATGGGTCTCCCTGTCTATGATGAGAGAGAAGTAGAGACCCGGTCAGGCGTAGTGTTCTCTTTCCCAGGGAGGTAAGGAAGACAGATGCAAACAGTGGTGTACCCCACTCCAGGGCCTAGTGTTGTGTCTTCTTTCAAAAGGGTCCAGGCCCCTGCAGGCCCATTGACTCTCCCCTCCCCAGGTATGAGATCAAGGACCTGCTGAGCCATGCTTTCTTCGCCGAGGACACTGGTGTGAGAGTGGAGCTGGCAGAGGAAGACCATGGCAGGAAGTCAACTATTGCTCTGCGTCTCTGGGTTGAGGATCCCAAGAAATTGAAGGGCAAGCCCAAGGACAATGGGGCCATAGAGTTCACCTTTGATCTGGAGAAGGAGACTCCCGATGATGTAGCACAGGAAATGGTAATGAGGGTGGGCACCAGGCTTGGGTGCCATGAAAGTCTATGGCTTCCAAAGATTACCCTGAAGTTGGCAAAGGAGCTTTGTGCAGGCAGTTCTGGTCTTCCAGACGCACAGGTGGGGGCTTTCTGGGTATGTCTGAAGGACCACGTGGGTCTGGGTGATTTGCTACATAGATATGGGGTGTCCACTTGGCAGTGGTGCATGAGGAAAGGTGTAGGGTGACTGTGACCTTGGCACTGGTCATTAATGGGACGTCATGCCCACACACATGCTGGATGCAGCAGGGACACAGGTCACTTTCCAGTGGAATGCAAGATTCTGAGAGAGGTGTCTTATCCTGCCAGTGCCCTGGCCACCAGCATTAACAATGTGGTGTCAATTTTGTATATCAGGAAAGGCCCTGTTTGACCAAATTCTTGATGCTTTTACATAACTGTGAGCCTCTGGGTTTGGGATCTTCCTCTCCTGTTTCTGAGGGGCATTGCTGACTGGCAGGTGCAGGAATGTAGGAGGGGTTCTGTTTTACTGGGGAAACAAAAGGTAAGAACAATGAGCCTGATTTTGAATGGAAAGGCTGAGCAAGAGAAAAGACCCACTTGCTCATCATGGGAGGTGTGTGCTGGGCTGCACCTGTGATAACCACAGCTGCATATGTCAACATTTCACTGAAGAACACATCTATCACATGTATGTAAAAATATGCATGAGCTGCAATGGTATGGCTGATGGAGCCTGCCAACCTGAACTGCCCGTGAGTGGGTTGGAGGAGCAGAGGCCTTGGCCTTGAAAGGTAGACTCTCCACTTGAAGGGTGGGAGAGGAGGCATACAGGGCGGCTTTGTCTTTTCCCTCTGAATTTACCTCTAAACTCACCTAGATTTATCTCCAGGGTCCCACAGGTGGGGGTCATGTGAGACTTGTGGGGGGAACTGGGAACATGGATGAGAATAGAGATGCCCTAGGAGGCTGAGAGAAGTTGGGTCTATGGAGATCTGGCTGCTTTGATTTGGAATGACCCCTGGGGTTGGACCCCTGGGGTAGGGATGGTGGGGAGGGGAGGGGACTGGCAGCCCAGCCCAGGACATTTTTGAGTTCCCCCTGAAGGCTTTGGGATAATGGGATGTTCCAGTGTGGCCCAGAATGTGGCTAAATTCTCCTCTGTTTGGGAAAAAATAGAAGAAACACCTTGGAGAGGATCGAGGGGGGTGACTATAAAGAGGGAGATGGAAGGAAAAGTGGGTCAGGCAGAAAATAGACACGCAGGCAGGCGTGTCTGCGGGATGCCTTCCTTCAGTGGCCTTTGAAGGGGTGGGTTTCCTGGGCCCCGCTGGCCCATGGAGTGCTGGGCATGAGTGCTGACCCTCTCCTGGCCCCCACAACCTCTGCCTGCTTGCATTGCTTTGGGGCTGGACTGAGCCTAGGGGAGTGGCCTTGGCACGGATGTTTGCAGGATTTCAGCACTGTTCATTCTAAGAGTCATCTCCTGAAACAGGGATTTTGAATAATCACACAATGTAACCAATACACAAGAAACAATTTGAGACAATGCCTCTGGCCTGGTGCCTTATCATCCTAGTATATCTGGTTCCCACAGAGGAGGATATTTCCCATACAGTCACCCTGGGGGCAGAACTGGCTGCAGAGTGGAGAGGCGCCTTGGGGGTCAGGGGCCCTGGTTCCAGCAATGACTGTGGCAGGAGCATGTCGCGGCATGTCTGCAAGCAGAGGTCCTGCCACGGTACCTCTCAGGGCAGTGTTTGGGGATAGCCACTGCAGGACAGGATGCCCACTATGATCGTGTGATTGAGGGTGTCTGCCAGGCATTTCCACATGAAGTTTTAATTCATAACTATTTCTGGGCGGTCCCTTGAAACTACATAAATGTCCCACTTTTACTAAACTACCCATTTATGTATATCTGTGGATACATGGTTTTCTGTTCTATTCAGTAGTCACCTGCTCCATCTGTGTGTTACCTGCCCCACGTCACAGTCACCCAAATGCAACATGTAAACATGGAGCTCTCGTACTCTCTGTGGTCAGGACTCTGAGAGGGTTGGTGGATGCTTCTGGCTCAGGGCCCTCTCAGGGTACAGCTGGGGTGTTGGCTGGCGCTAGGCAGAGGGTCAGTGTCTGAGCTCTGGCTGTTTGGTGGGACGCTCGGCACCCAGCTGGGAGTTTTTCCCTAGGGGCTGCCCATGTGCAGGTGATGAACTGTGTGTGGACACAGATGAAGAAAGAGACTGAGTTAGAGGCTGAGAGAGGGAGTGAGAGAGTCAGAGAGGGAAAGAGAGACATAGAGATGACACTTGGTGTCCCCATGCTGCCCCACTGGTCACTTGATTGCTTGGACATGAAGTGCACTTCCACATCCCTCAAAGCACCTTGACATCACTGTTTATGGTCACACTCATAATGTCACGGATTTGGCTGTGAGAGGCCCTGGGCACTGGCTCCATGTTGTCTTACACCTCCTCACTTTCTGACCTCTTGTCCTGTCCCTGTGGCCTGAACCTGCATTTCTCAGGAGCCTACACTCATAGTGGCTGTGGTGCCAGCCTATGTGCACATCTGCATGTATTTATGTCTGTTGTACAAGGGGACTGTGATTCACAACGACCACTCCATATGGTGATGACGGCAAGAAGCCTGGCTTCTGCTATTCTGTGGTTTTGCTACCAGTGTCCTCCCAGACAGCCATGAGACCCCTGGCTCCTTACAGTGGTCTCTGACAATATTAGGTAAACCGGGTTCAGTTTGCCTGGCATAGTAAGTACCTTACTGGGCTCAAATTACAAAGTATGGCTCCTTCCCAGGCCTCAGTGACACATCAGAGAATTGGAGGTCGGCTTGGGCCATAGCTCCTTGTCCCTTGTTCCTGAGCACACTAGGACCCCTAGTTGCAGCTAGGACCCCTCCTGTCTTTGGCTGTCCTGGGTGAAGTGTTCCAGGAAGCCCCTACAGCCCAGTGTTGGGAGTGGAGGCTGCTTTGCACGTCAGCCTTGCAGGAGGAGATGGGGATTCCCCTGTCCCATCACTCATCAGGCCATGCTCACAAGCACCTACCACCCTTGCTTTTCAGGAGCTGGGCCAGCACAGTCCAGTACTCATTCTCCCTGCATTTACAGTCAGTGGTGGGAGGAGAATTGCTTGAATGATGAGGAGAGAGTCCTGAGAAATGAGGGTGAGGGGCACCATGGAGGGGCTCTGGTGAACACCCCACAAGCAGCAGTGCAGGCAGACTGAGCAGTGGATTGTGTGGGGTGGGGGTGCACTGACGACATGCACTCCCTTTGCAGATCGAGTCGGGATTCTTTCATGAGAGTGACGTGAAGATTGTGGCCAAGTCCATTCGTGACCGTGTAGCACTGATCCAGTGGCGGCGTGAGAGGATCTGGCCGGCTCTGCAGCCTCCAGAGCAGCAGGACCCCAGCAGCCCTGACAAGGGCAAGGGCCCCCCTCCGACCGTGCAGGTGCAGGTGGGTCACCATGTGCAAACTGGGCCACCTGAGCCTGAGGAGCCTGAGGTCGACCAACACCTGCTCCCACCTGTGCTGCCAGCCAGCGCCACCTCCCTGGCCTGTGAGTACCACACCCACTTGTCGGATGATGGGGGCTAAAGAGAGGGTATGGGAGCGTCGACATGATCAGAGGGGTATAAGATTTGCTGAAGTCTATTCTCTCAGTACAGGCAGAACCAGAACCTCCCCTGCCCTAAGCCGGCAGGGCTGGAGTGACTTGATTACAATACTTACCCCATCTGGTGGTAACAGTCACGGCGGGCGTGGTAGGGCCCCCAAGTGCTGGGCAAAGGCATGGAAGCCACGGGTGGTCATGCTGCTGCTGGGCTGGCTCATCCCCAAGGTTACCTCCCTTCCAGGGCTCAGCCTTGAGACCTTTAGCATGTGTTGGTGTTTGGGGATCCCTGGAAGAGAGAATATAGTGTTTCTGCAAGTACAGCCAAGTGTCCCGCCTCTTCCCTAACACTTCAGTTGTGAGCTGAGGCTGGAGGACACAGCCTTTCCTGGCTGATATGTGAATAAGCCACCTGCCAGGCCACCATGTGGGTTGCTCATGTGGACAGACTAAAATAGTCTGTTTAATTTATTTAATAGGCATTTCCTTCATCTGTCATTGAAATAGCTAACTGGTCTTTAAAATAGGGTATTTAAATTCTAACCAGTGACTGGCTGTCATTTTGAGAGTTTGCCTACTGTTTTCTTCCTTCCAACCCAAGTTTGCTTTCTTCCTCCTACCCAAGTTTGCTTTAGAGCATAAAATTGCTCCATTTTTGATAAATCTAAAAAAGTAAAGAACATAAACTATGTATAGGAAAAGCTCTTTGTATAGGACACACCAAAATTTGGTTGTTGGTGGGACAGCTTCTAGGACAGGAATGAAGAAATCATGGATTGCATTTTGAAGAGATACAGTCTGGTACCTGGAAATACACTGGCTGTGGTCAGATGTAACACAGGTACTACCTTCCATGTGGACGTGAGCTGATGGGTGAGTTCAGTTCAGGGTGGGCATTCTTTCTGCAAACTCACCCCTTCCTGTCCCACTCAAAACGATTCTGTGTGCTTCATGCAGTGGTCATGATGTTTCTTAAAAATGTTTTATTCATTTGCTATCCTTTCTTTAAAGTAGAAATATAGTCATATAAAATTCATGAATTCCAAGAGGGTATACAACAAAGCCAGTTAATCTTCCTCCCTAAAGGCAATGTTACCAGACTCTTAATTGAAACTTCCAGAGATAATCTACACATGACATCTACCACGTACTCATACATGCGCACATGGAATCTACCACACACACACACATGCATGCCAGTGTACTTATGGGTGCATGTGTGCATATAACTCATACTCACACACATGCATAAGTGCACACACAGAGATAGGCATGCACACGTGCACATCCATACATTTGTGCTCCAAGCTCTGAGTCAGAACATCGGAGCCTCAACTCGACTGTGTGTAACACATAAATGTGAGTAATAGGGATGCAGGCTGCACACACATCACTGGAGAAGGACATGCTGCAGTCACACTTACGTATGTTGGAAGGTACAACAAACAGATGTTTGATTCTCCACTGCATCTTCCTTAACTCCCCACACAGCCCAAGCCAAGTTCCATAAGAGAGTGTTTCCAGCACTCATGTTTGTGAGGATACACTTTGTCAATAGGTTTAGAAAATGGCTTTTGAAATTAATATTTAATTATATGAGCAATAAACATGTTCACTTGAAAAAATTAAAAGTCACATCTCTGGTTGAAGTCACTTTATTTGATATGTGTCAGGTCCTTACACGTCCTCTCTTTCTGATTGGAAATGACTCCCCCTACCCCCCACCACCTCAGTAAAAATCAGTCCCTTGTCTAATTAACTGCACAATAAACCTCAGCATTCATGCATTTTCCTGGGTTAAAATACGTTCTAATCAGCATTCTTCACTGGCACTGCCACATAGGTGACCTATCTCCCCAGGTACATCTTCATGAGATGAGCCTGTGGACTGTGGGGGTCCTGTCTGTACCCCTATGTGAGGGTGCTCCACCTATGTGATGGGTTGAATGGTCAGCTGGGCTAACTGTGGTGAGGTTGGCTTCTGGGGGGCCTCCTTGGGCTTTGGAGACTCTGGATCTCCCTCTTGGTCTCTCTGTGAGTTGGGGGTCCTTATCAAACCCCTTTAGCAACCACATTAGATGGGCCCACAATGAGAGGCCAGGTATCTCTGCTTTATACTCTGCCGTGGTGAGTGAGGCTGGTCAATCCTGAGCTGTAAGATGTGGGTGACAATTGTTTTCTCCACAGGACAGTACTTTTCCTAACTAGGACCTTCTATCAGGTGTCTAGACCCCTCGTGCCTTTCACCAGATGTTCACTTTTGGGGTAAAGCAGGTGCCACTGATGCTCATGTGTAGGTTGGGGGTTGTGCAAGGCACCCACCTAGGACCTGTGGTCCCTGTGCTGGGGGATAAGAGGTGGGAGGGCAGTCAAGCCACCAGGACCATCTCTGGGTGGTGCAGTCGCAGTCACCCCCACCCCATTCCTAGCAGCTGATTGTCTAAAACAGAACACATTTATCATTTATGGGGTCTGGTAATGCAACCAAGTCATTGTTTTGCAGAAGAAAATGCACAGATGCTTGAATGTTTCTGAGATGTGTACAGAACATGTGGGGTGATCTTTGGGGTGTTTCCAGAGCTGTGCCTTTGTCTTCTGCAGCGGACAGCACCTTTGACAGTGGCCAGGGCTCCACAGTGTACTCGGATTCCCAGAGCAGCCAGCAGAGTGTGGTGCTGGGCTCGATGGCTGATGTGGTACCTCCCGCCGCCCAGTGTGTGTGCAGCCCCCCTGTGAGCGTGAGCGAGGGCGCGGTCTTGCCGCACAGCCTGCCCACGCTGGGAGCCTACCAGCAACCTGCTGCGGTGAGTGACACCCCACCCCGAGCCTGGAAGTGTGCTTTGGGCCGACCACGTGCTAGCCTGTGGTCAGTCATTCCAGGTGGACCCTAGGAAGCCGGGCTGCAGGTGAAGTAAAGTAGCCTGTGCATATCTCAACAAACCAGGTGAGGAAACAGTCAGTGACTCGTGCTCGCATGGCTGTGGTAAAGCAGGTATACCTGTGAGCAGTGCTGGATCTGGGCTATCTCACTTGCAAAGACGCCATTTACAGTAGTGAAACCTTTAATTCTATCTGGTGTTCCACTTCACTGAGGGGTGTCAAGTATCTCCCTGCTTTTCTCCAGCAGGCCTTATGTAGCTGTTAGAAGCTAAAGCTATGAAAACCGGAATTGAATCGTCAGAAATGTTTGTGATGATGTTTGAGAGCAGGTTCGGAGGATGCTCCTGATTGTGCCTTGTGCTTATCCTGTGGGATAACTTGTGAGATACGGAAAGACTGCAGCTGAAGTGGAGATTGCTAGATGAGGGGTTGAATTTGGCATTTATTTTTTGATAGGTGGTGGGGTGGGGTCCAGAAGGCGGTTTAGTCCCCTAGGACCAGAGGCAGGTTCAGGCCTAGGTGTCTCTCCCCACAGGGCCACCTTCTTGGCATTACCTTTCTGCTACTTCTGTTCACCTGAGCTGGGCTGTTGGAAGGCTCAGAAAGCCCCTTGGAAAATCAGTGATGCCTCAGCTGATGGTGCCTAGGACTCATTTGCAGTTTGCATTTTTGTTTGTTTCAGGAAATGAAATAAGATTTTAAATGGCAAGAAGGGTGGTGCTACCCATTCACTTGGGTAGCAGCTCCTTTCTGACTTTGAAGGCTGTCCTGTGGGGCTAAGCCAAAACATTCCACAAGCGGGGTCAGGGTTTCTCATGGTCAGTTGTATGCTGTCCTCCTGGTCCCCACACGCCATGTCTAGGCCGGTTCCGATTTGCACATAGGAAACCCAAGCACAGGCAGTCAGGGACCTGATCAGGATCTACCCCAGGCAGAGCTGCCAGAGTGCTTGTCCGTCTCCCTGCCTGTTAACACAAAAACACCTTGGGCCCAGTGTGGGGCCTGGGTGGATATCCAGGGTTTGCTGAGGGCTCGAGGGAGGGTTGCCATGGTGCTGCACCCCTGGGACTGGGTAAAGACGAGGCAGATGGTGGGCAGAGGAGTCAGGAGCCACTGTTCAGAGACTTGGGCCCTGCCAGCCCCTAAATCCTGGCTGGCTGGGCCTGGGCCTATGGAGCAGGTGTGTGGTGGCTTGTTCTGCTCCATGGCTTCAGATTAGAGGCTCCATCCCACCATGCTGCTGCTTGTGGCATGTTTTCTATGAAAGATAAAATGAGTTTTAGAAATTACTACCACCTATTCCACCCAGAAGCCCTCTATATGAGAGCATTTGACTGTTGGCATGAGAACCAGGCCCTAGCTTTAATTCTTCCAGAGGCGCCTGCCCCTCCTACTCTGAGATTTTGAAGTAAATCCAAGACAGAAAAGAGTTTTGCCAATAAATATTTCAATCTATATCTTCAGGATCAGGACTCAAACCCAACACCATCATTGTACCTAAAAGTGAACAAATTCATAGTACCAGGCCTCCAGGGCACAGATTTCCAGTTCTCACCACATCCATGCTGTGGTTGGCTGCTCATACTGCAGCCCCTTCCTGGTGCCAGGGTCAGCAAGGTCTGCTGCTGAGTGCCCTTCTCTCAGCACTGTCTTGCCCCTGGCTCCTACTTGTCCACATTCTATATGTGATGCTTTCTACATTTTATGTAGTCCTGTGGGCAAGAGGGCAGGCACCTATCTGTATCTCTCACCACTGAATGTCATAAGTGTTTCTTCATGGTTTTACAAAATCCTTAGAATGATTTTTTTCTCACAGTTGCATAAGAGTCTGTGGAGCTGATGTTCCAGAACATTCCCTGGTTGAGATTAAGCCATTTTCTGCTTAGGGGTCACCCCACTGGGCTTCTTCTGTATAACCATGTTCCCAGGAAAAGGTGTCTTTAGTGGAATGAACCAGCAAGGGCGGGGGTGGGGGAGTAAGAGGCCATCATGCTGCCTGATAGCTGTCAAATGTGTGCCTGGGTGGGGTCCTTAGGGCAGGTCCTGAATGTTGTCCCTGATATTCTCTGCAGCCTGGCCTGTCGGTGGGCTCTGTTCCACCCCCCACCCACCCTCCACTCCCGCAGCCTCATTTCCCAGAGCCAGCCTTGAGCTTTGCTCCTGTGTTGCCACCACCTAGTGCCCCTGTGCCAACGGGCCCAGGCCAGCCAGCACCCCTTGGCCACCAGGTGAGTGTGGGCTGCCTTCCTTATAGTATGGATCCCCATCCGTCTCTCAGACTCCCCTACCCACCTGGCCCTGCCTGGTCCTCTCTATGGTGTTGAGCTCTGCTAACTCAGGCCCCTGGGCCATGAGCACCTCCTGGCAGGCCCCTGCCCCCTTTAATTTTCTGTATGGTTTCTCAGGATCTGGGGTGCATATGGGAGTGGGGGTGTGTCTGTGGAGTTCACACAGATCCACAGAACAAAACATGGGCCAGCACTTGTTAAGAGCATTTCTCCCAGTTCTGTAAGTCCTGGGCTTCAGGGCTTGGTGGTGTTTGTGTGCATGCGTGCATTGTGCACTTGTGTACACACGTGTGTATGCATATGTGCCTGCCTTCACACATGCCCAGGTGTGTATGTGTATGTGCATGTGTGCCTTATGTGCACGGGTGCTTGTGCATATGTGCGGGTTTGCATGGGTATAAGTTTTGGTTTTCTCTGTGCTGTGTGAGCATGCAGGATATCTCAGCAGGATGGTGGTCTAAGAGAAGCCTCTTCTCTCCTTCCAGCCTCCTCCCCTGGCCCAGCCGGCACCCTTGCCACAGGTCCTGGCCTCACAGCCTGTAGGCCCTCTGCAACCTGTGCCCCCCCACCTGCCTCCATACCTGACTCCGACCTCCCAGGTGGTGGCCCCCACTCAGCTGACTCCTATCCAGATGCCACCTGCACCCCTACCACCACTGGCTCAAGTCCCTCCACAGGTACTCCTGGCCATCTACCCAGCCTTGCTGCTAGGGCCCTGCCGTGGTGGTGGCTGTGTTTTGCCAGTCCTGGACAAGTTGCCTCTCTTCTGGTCACAGATATGTAGGAAGACTTTCACTTTGGCTGTCACCTGTCATTAGTATTGCCTTGTCCTGCTGGCATTAGAGCATCTGTTAGTGTCTCGTTAAGCACACCACCAAGCTTGTCAGTGGTCTTGGCATTTAGTTGCTTTTCGGATACACAGAAATTGATTTACTTATTTTCACTGCCTTATAATTGTGTAAAGGTCTCTGTGATGGGACACTCATGCACCTACTCCCAGAGAGGATTTATTTTAAATCTAGATCTGCCGAAGTGTTTGGAGGCTAAATCCACAGCTCAGCCGGCAGGAGTCTCCAGGATGGCCTGGGATGTCACAGGGAAAGAGATACACTTTTACTGAGAGGATTTGGTGTCAGTGTGACTATATATAGACTGGGGCAGCCAGGAAAAGTAATTTCAGGTGTTTGGGGCCAGCGGTGGCTTTGATAGTCCCAGCCTTTCTGAAAGAGAATGTGCACGGTAGTGAAACTGGTGATACATCTGTGACCCTTCATGTCTGAGCTGCCCCTGCTGTCCTCAGAGCCACCTGGCAAGCAGTTCATGACAGACCCCAGAGGGACCCAGTGCCAAAGGAGTTCCTCCTGAAGGCTGTATCTGAGGCCTGCCTTCCCTTCTCTACGTGAATGGCGTTATATTCTTAGTTTCTGTTTAAGTTGGGTTTGTGTTTGGGTTGCCTTGGGTAGCTGCATGAAAGTGCCTCGAGCAGAAGCCTAGGACTGAATCTGGTGCAAATATCATGCAGATGGGTGGGCCTGGGGGCTCACCTGCTCCCCTGTCTCTTTCAGATTCCTCCGCTTCCTGTCGCCCCCCCCATCGCCCCATTGGCGACAATCGACAGCCTCCCCACAGCCCTCCCTACAGCCCTCCCCGACCTGCCTGCTGCCAGTGGGCCTCCTATGCCTCCCCCATCTCAGTATTTCTCTCCAGCTGTCATCTTGCCAAGCCTCCCGCTCAGCGCCGCTGCCACCCCTCTGCCTGCGTCTCCGGCACTGCCTCTGCAGGCGGTTAAACTACCCCACCCTGCTGGGGCACCACTGGCTGTGCCGTGTCCGACTATCATGCCAAATGTGGCAGCTGCCGCCACCGCCATCCCTCTGCTGGCCGTGGCCCCTCAGGGTGTGGCCGCCCTGTCCATTCACCCTGCCGTGACCCAGCTCCCAGCCCAGTCCATGTACCCGGCTGCCTTCCCGCATATGGTGCCTGGTGATGTCCCACCTTCTCCCCTCCATGCGGCCCAGACTGTGAGGGCTGCCCCAACGCAGTCGGCGCCCCCCACGCTGCCGCAGCCCCACCAGCCGGGTGTCGCCAGCCTTTCCGAGCAGGCTGCTCCAGCCACTGGCGTGGGGAGCCAGGTAACCCACCTGCTAGGCCAGATCCTCCCAACAGGCACTGGGACATCCCTTAGCAGCTAGAAGTGCCAGGGGCTCTCTATTCCTCTGTATCTTGATGGGGGGCAGAGGGCAGGAGAGCAGACAGCTGCAAGAGTCTGTTGCTCTGAGTAACACCAGCTCATAGGATAAGGGCTGATTCTGGGGAAAGCCGAAGGGCACGTGAGAAGGAGCGCAGTGGCCTAGGGCCGTGGTGTCAGGGCCTGGTCAAAACACTTGGTGCTAAGTCCTTTGTTTAGCCAGTGGCTATAGAAGGCACTGTGTGCTCAGAGATCAAGGCCAGCCCTGGAGGCCAGCCCTGCTGTTTCTCTGGTGGAAGGCCTGAGGTTTTTTGATGAGCTGGGCCTTCATATCTGACCATACCGCATTGCTAATCACTCTCACACCAGCAGATCCCGGCCTCCTTGGACTGGGGTAGGATGGGGCTCCTGTCCTTTCAGATTGGGCTGCCTCCTGCAGGAAGCCTTTCCCCTAAGTGTGTTCAAGTGGGAACATGGGGTCAGGCTGAGGCCCACAGCTCCCCTTTTTCATGTGTGACTTGGGACTGCGATGCAGTCTTTGACCTGACATGGGCCTAGGAACTGAGCAGCATGTGGTCCAGGCCCTGTGGGTTGGTGGGGTGTTCTTGTCGATACTAAATGTGCCCTGCTTAGAGCCTTCACAAGAGTGCCCATTCTTGTTTCTGCAAAATTCTTACATTAACATGCTTTGAAGTCAGGACTTGCTTTTGGGGGCATGGGTTGGATTGGAGAGGGATATCCCTGTGTCCCCGGTGTACTCACTGCTTAGATGGGGGACCTATCTGCTTTGGTCCAGGCCCCTGGACTCCTCAGCAAAGGCAATGGCTGGCACCCCGACTTCCCTTTCTGTCCCCTGTGCCCCCAGACCCTGCTTGGCCACCCACCTCCATATGCCGTGGACGTCACTGCCCAGGTCCCCACCGTGCCTGTGCCTCCCACCACCATCCTCTCCCCACCTCTGCCGGAAGTGCTGCCACCCACAGCCCCTGAGCTCCTGCCTCAACTCCCTGGCTCCCTGGTGCCTCCAGTGGTGGCGGCTACTCAGAGCTTGCCCATCCAGACTGCTGCAGCTGTACCCCCAGCTAACCCAACGCTGCCCAGTGGGCCTGTGATCTCTGGCCCCTGCCCGGCTGTCCAGCTGACAGTGGAGCCAGCCCCAGAGGTATGCACCCTTCTCTGAGCTTAGCCACCACTTCCCACCCCCTGTATGGAGTCTTTGGGTCTTAGCCCTGGAAGCAGGGGTGGCATGGTTGGAAGATGGATGTGTGTGTGGGGCAGCCAGAAGGTGCTGTTCTGTTCCTCTTCCTGGTCCCTGGATGCCATATTTTTCTTAAATGCTCATCAGCGGGGCGGGTGTGGTTGTTCTGTGGATTTGGAGAGGGCTTCCTTGGAGCTGTGAAAGGCCACGTTGGCTGGTGCATTTCTGCTCAGGGACCATCACAGTCAGTCAGCAATTTTGGAAAAGAGTGTCCCCAGCTTATAGGAATCTGCTTCACTCTGAGCAGCTCCAGGTGCAGCCCCAAGTGGTGGGCTTGCTGCAGTGCATGGGAGCCGGTGGGAGGCATGAGGCTGTGTGTGTTGAACCTGCAGGGAGACCACGACCCATCCTCCTATGGTTTTGTTTCAGGAGCTGGCCTCACAGGACAAGCAGTCCAGCCTCCTGCAGAACTGTGAGAGGTAAGGGCCCAGCCTGCCTGCTGCCTTTCCTCCCAGAGTCCTGCTGTTCTTTGCTTTCACACATCGGCACTTCTGAAATATGTCACTTGTTTCCAAGTGGGGCTGACCTAGTGGGGCTGTGGGTTGCACCTTTGGGGATTTGTCGGTGCTTGATGAAATTTGGTTGCCAGGGCCCCCTGGCTGTGTTCTGGGCCCTGGCACTGGCCTGTGGTGCCTTGGGTGTTTCAGAAGTGAGAGGCCATGGACGGAGAGTTGGTGGGACACAGAGCTGGGGGAGGCCAGAGAGCAGGGCAGAGTTCAGTCTGAACCCCTGGTCACCTGGTGTTCGGCTTCCAGGTGCCTGCCACTCTCCAGTCACAGAACTTGTCTGTTTTGGGAGGGAATTGGTTATAGGAAGTGACGGTGCCTCCCACCCTCCCAGTGATCAGGCAGCTCAAGAGCAACTGCAGCCCCATGTGCTTGGCACGTTCCACTGCTGTTCACAGATGGGGAAATGCATGGGGGAGGACTGTTTCCTATATCTGAGGCTTACCATGAGCCTCACAGGTCAGGACTCTGAGGGGCCCATGGTTGTGGGTCAGAAAGCCCATGCAACCACGAGAGGCCAGCATAGCCCAGGATAGGCTTTTGCGGGGGGGTGGGGGGGGAGCAGTGGCGCTGGAAATGGGCTCAGGGGGATGCAGCAGGGCATGGCTGGCTCAAGATTTTCTAGCTGAAAGCATCTAACTGCTGAAGCTTCTGACCGTTTCCTTAAAAGCTAAGACTCCCATGTGACCCGGGCCTGCAGGGCACCACTGCATCCGCCATACATGACCTTCTTGATTTTTACGCAGCTATGGAGGGTCTGATGTCACTTCTGGAAAAGAGATGAGTGACAGCTGTGATGGCGCTTTTGGGGGGGGTAAGCTGGAAGGCAGGGCCTCTCGGAAACATCACCGCAGGTCCACACGCATGCGGTCCCGCCAGGAGAGGGCCAGCAGGCCCCGGCTGACAATCCTCAATGTGAGTAGCCTGGTGGGCAGGCTGTGGCCAGGGGTCCCAATGAGTTACCCCCACCTGACTGCCGAGTGTCCATAGGTGTGCAACACAGGTGATAAGATGGTGGAGTGCCAGCTGGAGACGCACAACCACAAGATGGTGACCTTTAAGTTCGACCTGGATGGGGATGCGCCTGATGAGATCGCCACCTACATGGTGAGGCAGCTTTCCTGCTTGGGCGCGCCCCAGGATGTAGCCCTGGGGAGTGGAGCTGGTAGTATGCTCAGCCTGCCTTTCCTGGACTTCTGTCCTGGACCCACAGGTGGTCACCTGCTTTGGGCAGTGCTGGCTGGCAGCACTGAGGATCATTTCCAAGCCACCGTTTCTATGGTGCTTGTTGCTTCATTTGCTGAGTTATGCAGCACCCAGAGTGGGCTGATCCTGGCATGTGTCCCCCTTGGGCCTGGGCAGAGCAGGAATCTATCAGAAGGGCCAGTAGATGCAGAGTGGTCATGTCCTCAGTTGTCCCAGCGGGGTGACATGTGCCTTATAGGTGGAGCACGACTTCATCCTGCCTGCTGAGCGGGAGACCTTCATCGAGCAGATGAAAGATGTCATGGACAAGGCGGAGGACATGCTGAGTGAAGACACAGACGCTGACCATGGCTCTGACCCAGGAGCCAGCCCTCCACACATGGGTACCTGTGGCCTGGGTGCTGGGGAAGTAAGTTGGCCACAAGACTGGGGGCTGTGTGGGGGCCATGCTGGGATAAAATGACTGCCTGATGGAGAAATGCGGGGTCATCAGTGCAGGGTGACTAGAAGTAGCGAATTGGGTCAATTAGAAACACAGATGTTGAGGCCACATTGCAATTTGATGGAAGCTCTTGTTCTGCATGGTCTGCTGACTTCTGATCCTTTACTACCTCCAGGAGGGTCGACAATCCCAAGAGAATGCCCCAGTGTATCAGCAAAACGGTATGTCTACTTTCCCTCTGGGCCTTGTCCACCCACCAGACCAGCCTTTTGGGGGCATTTCCATCTGCCAAGACCCATTGGTACATTGTAAGGGGGTTTGGTCCTGGGGCAATTGCTAGAGTGTAAGTGTTCACCTGGGGATGGTTGCCCTGCCTGGGGAGCCTCATCTGGCCTGGTAGGGTCTGGGCGTGTGTGGACTTGCAGCCCTTGGGCAGTGTTACCCTTTTACTGATAGCATCATGGGTATATTGGGAAGTAAGCCCCTGAGGAGCCCCCTAGAAGATTGCCACCCCCTCCACCCCCAACTGTTAGGAAAAGAGTTGATATAAGCCCCTAACCATGGTACTTTACCTGAGGGATCTGACTTAGCACCTGTTCATGGAGGAAAGCCATTTAGGATTATGGCTGGAGACTTGGGTCCCCTGCACACACCTTTCCTAGTGAAAAACCCACCTATGTGAGTTCCCAAATTCCCTTTGGCAGGTCTGATGCTGATGGTGAGGGGTCACAACGACCTTGGGAGAAACTGGCTTCCTCTGTTTTTGTTCTGCCCTTAGTCCTGCACACGGGGAAGAGGTGGTTCATCATCTGTCCTGTGGCTGAGCACCCAGCAGTAGAGGCCCCTGAATCTTCGCCTCCACTTCCTCTGGGTTCCCAGCAGCCAGAAACCAGCCAAGGTATGAGCAGCCAGGAACCCCAGTCTGCCTCCCTAGAAATTCTGCATGTCCCCTCCTGTGTTTTGCTCCAGGTCTTCCAGGGGTCCTCTGTTTGTGTTTACTCTTTGGCTCACACTTTGCTGGCACTTGCAACTTGGCCATCAAAGTGCCAGGTCTTGCCCTGAAGGGTTGCCTGGAAGCCCAGAGCAGACCAAATGTTCTACTCTGCCTGTGTCTTCACCTAGTGAGACACAAGCTGTGCAGGTGTGTACCCTGAGGCACTGCCCTTTCTTATCACTATCATGTGACTCATAAGCTCCTCCTTCCCTCTGCATGGCCCACATGCAGTGAACATGCCCCTGCTTATTCTGCTTGTTTTGGGGGTGGGGTGGGAAAGTCTCTCTCAGCATAAAGACACTGTTTTTAAATTGTCCACAAGGAAAGAACCATAAGGTAGTCTGCACCTGTATGGATAGGTGCCAGCAAACTTGTCCTTAGAGCTATCTGCTAAATCTTGATTTTTGTGGTCACTTGAGAGGCTGAAAATAGTTCCTTGAACAAATTTGACCTTTAGTTCCCTATAAGCTGGTAGGGAAAAATGTTGTCTTTTATATAATTCATCCTGACTTTATGGTACGTTCATGAAAAACTTCTGTAAGTCAATTTTAATTTTGTGTCATGTGCTTCCATTATACTTTTGAGAATTTGTTCCTGTGAGGAAAAGGTCAGACAAATAACAAAATCACCAGCACAGTCACAGATAAAAATTGGTGATCTAGTGAACAGGAGCGAGGCACAATGTCTGCAGAGGTTTAACTTTAATAATGTGTTTGTGTATTGTTACTAGATTTAAACACACAGTTAATTGGGAGGGGATTTTTATCAAAATAAAGCTAGTTTTCAGTGGTATAGTGACAAATTGGCCTTAAACCCTCATCCCTTCATCTGTGCACCGACCTCAGGAAATGTTTTGTAGCCAGTTTTTTTTACCTATCAAAATAAGAAAAAGGAGTCAGTCATTCCATGGATGGCAGTTTGGTTAATTTAGATGAATTGTTCATGAAGATCACCAAAAACGTTGGACCAGTTATAAGGATCATTGGCTTGAAGGTATTTAGGAAGTCTGAAGATAGTGGAGAGTTATCAGGCTGGTGTCCTGGAGAGGCTGGAGACCTTGAATGTGATCCCATTTTGGGCCCTATTCCTATGGGGACATCTCCCATGCCTGCAGGGGTGGCAGAAATGCTGAGCAATACTTCCATAGCCTCATCAGGCTTGAGCAAAAGGGCTCAGAGTCATGGGCCAGGAGTGCTGTGCTGAAGTGCTGTGCTGAAGGAGGGCACCCAGAAGTAGGCAGGCCAGGCAGAGAGTATTACACCAAGATTACCTCAAAGTATTACCTTCATAATTGTGGAAGTGGATGGTTTCTCTCCAGAGGTTCAGATAGTGCAGTCCCAGAGATCCAGGAAATACCAGGAGGTCATAGGAAGGGAGGAAATGAGGAAAGCAACCTCCAAAAGCTGTTTATGAATTCCTGGGCTCACACAGGAGTTCATAAACTCTTGCATGCTTCATCTGATCTTAATTAGTGTATAAAGAACTTTGAGAGCTGAGCTAGTAGATAAAGTCCTGTACAGGTTCCAGACTGGCCTATGGATGGGATATATGGATTTCACATCAGGTTACTGATCAAAGACATGGAGACCTCACAAGACATTGTAACCACTGCTCATGGAAGGAAGGCGGGCTGCTTGAACCCAGCAGGTCAATTGTCTGCTAAAGCAAAAATATCAGCATTCATGGTAGGATTTAAACATACTTAGAATCTCATAATATTATTTTAAAAATTCAGTCCAGTCCAACCAATGCAATTCAAAACTGGTTGTCATATGAAGAACCATAAAAAAATACACACTTGCTTGGAAAAAGAGAGCCAATGTATGACAATGATGAGATGATAGATGTTGGAATGATCTGACAAAAAAGCAGCTGATTTAAAAATGACTGAACAATTATAAACATGATCATCTCAATAGATGCCAAAGAAAGCATTTGACAAGATACAACATCCATTTATGATACACACACTCCAAAAATGGGAATAAATGGAACCTATTTAAACATTATAAAAGCCATAAATGACAAACCCACAGCCAACATCATCCTCAATGGTGAAAAGCTGAAAGTGTTCCCACTGACATCAGGAACGAGACAGGGATATCCACTATCACTACTATTATTTATCCTAGTACTGGAAAGTCCTAGCTGAAGCATTTAGGCAAGATAAAGACATAAAAGGATTCCAAATCAGAAAAGAAGTGAAACTGACTGTTTGCAGATGACATGTTGATATATTTAGAGAAACCAAAAGACTCTACCAAAAAACTTAACAGAGAAATTAATGAATACAGTAAAGTGGCAGGATACAAAATCAATATGCTAAAAATCAGTGACATTTCTTTATGTAAACAATGAATCAGAAGACAGGCAAATAAGGAATACAATCCCATTTACAATCATGCCAAAAATAACAAAATAACTGGGAATAAACTTAATGAAGGATGTGAAGGATCTGCACATTGAAAATCATAAAACTCTGCTAAAGGAAATAAGAGAATATATAGAGAAATGGAAAGATACCATATGCTCGTGGGTTGGAAGAATTAACATCATTAAAATGGCCATATTACCCAAAGCAACTTATAGATTCACTACAATACCTGTCAAGGAAATAAAACAAGAAATATCAAATTTACATGGAACCACAAAAGGCCCTGAATAAGTGAAACAACCTGAGAGAAAAGAAAATTTGTGGCATCACTTTCTGACTTCAAACTCTGTTACACAGCAACAGTAATCCAAACAGTATGGTACTGAAACAAAAACAGAAACTCAGACCAGTGGAATGGAATTGAAAACCTAGAGATAAACCCACATAAATATAGACTGTTAATCTTTGACAAAGGTTTATGGCCATACAATGGAGAAAATATAGCCTCTTTATTAAATGATGCTGGGAAACATGGATAGCCACTTACAAAAAAAAAAAAAAAGAAAAGAAAGAAAAAAGACCCATACCTAACTCCACATACAAAATTAATTCAAAATGGATTAAAGATCTGGATATAAGAACTGAAACCATAAAGTAATTGAAAGAAAATATAGGGGACACAATGTAGGACATCTACCACAAAGGTATATTTGGGGACTCAACCCCAACAGCAATGGAAACAAAAGCAAAAATAAACAAGTGGGATTCATCAAACTTAAAAGCTTTTGTACCTCAAAAGAAACCATTGCAAAAACAAAAAGGTAACCTACAGAATGAGGGGGGGAAATTGCATGCCACACAAGGGTACAAAATATACAAAGTTTTTATATAACCCAATAGTAAATAAACAACCCAATTAAAAAATTGGCAAAAAAACCCCTAAACAGATAACTTTTCTAAAGAAGATATTCAGATGGCCTATAGACATGAAAAATTCTTTAGCATCACTTATTATAAAGAAAATGCAAATCAAAACTACATTGAGATACCACTTCACCTCTGTGAGGATGGCCCATATAAAAAGGAATCAACAAATGTTGGTGAGGTTAAGGTGAAAAGGGAACTCTCATCTACTGTTGGTTGGAATGCAAGTTGGTGCAGCCCTTATGGAAAATAGTGTGGAGATTTCTTAAGAAAATAAAAATGGAAATTCTGTATGATATGACACTACTTCTATTTAGGAATATATCCAAATAATATGAAACCTCTAATATGAAATGATTGATCTATGCCTATGTACATAGTAGCACTGCCCACAGTTGCCAAGTCATGTAACCAACCTACATGCTCTTCAACAGATGAGTGGATAAAGAAATTGTGGAATATATACTCAATGCAGTACTATATAGCTGCGAAAAAAATGAACTAGTGGCATTTGGGTCACAATGGATGAACCTCAAGGTGATTATATTAAGTGAAATAAGTCAAAAAGTGAAAGACAGATCTTGACTATTTTCACACATCTGTGGAATATAAATAATCAAAAAACATACACAGGCAAAGTATAGTTGGTATAAATCTTTGAACTCAGTGAAAGAGTTATAGAGGGAATGGAGGAAGACATGAGGGAGGGAGGCAGATGGGATGGGGATATGGGCACAGGTGGTTTGATGAAGGGTGAGTGGAACATGTATGCATAAGGAAAAAAAGTAAAAACAAAAAAAAAACAACAAACAAAGATAGTACCAAAAAGCGAATTATAAACCAAAGTTTTTCATGGACATAGGGGATGGGAGGAAGGTCTCATAAAATATAAGCAAGTCAACTTCAACAATATTGAAAAAGGTGGTATACCATGACAAATTGGAGTGTATCCTGGGAAGGCAATATTTAAAAACCAACCCACCACATTAGTAATGAAAGGAATTTCCCTCCCATACAAAGGGAAAGGCGCACGTTCATATCAGTTGAAACAGAAAAATTATTTGACAAAATGCAACATCCATTCACGTTAAAATTTATCAGCAAACTAGCAACCTAAGGGGGCTTCCTCAATCTGATGAAAGGAATCTACAGAAAATGACAGCTAACATATTTAATGGTGTAAGAACAAGTATGTTTTCCCTGAAATTAGGATCAAGGCACATATGTCCACTCTATTTATTGCTATTCAACTGGACTCAAACTCTAGACTGAACTCGAAATCTTAGCCAGACTTCCAGAAGGATAAGAAATAGAAATAAGAGGAATGTGCATGTGCATTGAAAAGGAAGAAACAAACCTATCTTTATTTGCAGAAAATATGCGCACAGGATATATAGTCAACATACAGCTGTACTTCTATCTGTTGACAGTAAACATTTGAAAAATAACTCTTCAAAGAATACCACTTACAGTAGCTCCTCTGCAAAGATACATGGATATAAATTTAATAAAACAAGAGTGTGTACCCTGAAGACTATAAATGACTGATGAAATGAATCAAAGATGACCTAAATAAATGGAAAAACATGGTGCCTTCATGGATTGGAGACTCAACACACTCAACATGGTACAATGTCAGCTTTCTCCAAAGTGATCTTGAGATTTAATGCAATACCAATAAAATTCAAATTCTGCTTTTTGTAGTCATAGACAAGCTGACTCTAAAATTTATATGAAAGTGCAAAAAAACCCACAAATCTGAAAAAGGAGACTCAAGGTGAAGGAATCAAACTCTACCCAATACTCAGACTTAATTATGATGTTACAATAATCCAGACAGTATAGTATTGCCAAAAGGGATTAATACATAGATCAATGAAATGGAAGAGAGAGCCCAGAAATATACCCTTAAAAGATATGGCCATTTGATTTTTTGACAAAGCTGCAGAAGGATCAATGGAGAAAAGATAGCCTTTTCAATAAATGATGCTGGAACAAGTGGTTTCCAAATGCAACAATTGAACTTAACCTTTGCCTGGCATCTTATACAAAAAATTAATTAAAAATTCAGCATGTATCCAAATGTAAAAGATAACTATATAACCTTTAGAAGAAAACATTGGAGAAAAATCTTTGCGACCTGTGCTAAGGAATTCTTAGACATGACCAAAAGGGGCATGATCCATGAAAAAAAAAGAAGTGGATAAACCAGACTTTTCAGAATAAAAATAATTTTATTTCTGAAAAACACTGTTAAAGAGAATGAAAAGACAACCTATAGATGGGAGAAAATAATTACAGATCACATATGCAATATAGTGTTTGTTCCCAAAATACTTTAAGAAAACTTTTGAAACTCAAAATAAACTCAAGTAACTCACTTAGAAATAGGCAATGGACTTGAACACTTTATCAAAGAGGATATAAAGATGGCAGTTGAGAACATCAAAAAATATTCAATGTCTTTGACTACCAGGGAAAGGCAAATTATAACAACACCAACTGTACCTGTTGATTTTTTCCAAATTGGAAACTACACAAAATAAAATAACTAAATGGAAGTTCTAGAATTGAAAAATATAGTAGTTAAAATTAAGAACTCACTGGGTGGTTTACACACTACTAGAGAGAGAATTAGCAAACTAAAAGGTAACCCAAAAGTGAAATATTTAAAGTAAAATAAGGATATTGTAAATAATGGAAAATAGAAAAGAGGAACTAGAAGTATAGTAGTTATAGTAACATGGTCAAACATAGGATATGACTGGGGTCCCAGAAAGCAAAAGAATGAGACAAAACAAGTTTGAGGAGAAAATGCAGAATTGTAATACATTAAACCACAGATTCAAGAAGCCTTCTAAACTCTGAGAGAAAAACTAGTTTAAGATCTTATAGTTAAAAATCCTAAAAGCCAATAACAGCTGGGTGTTAAAGGATGCTAGGTTGCAAAAAAGAGCTTTCACAGTGGATCCTGTCATGACTGACACACAGAAGACATCAACAGCTTTTACCACTGAGATAATCAACAATCACCATTACTTCCCCTCCCAAGAAGGAAATGCTGCTGACTCCCTGCCTCAGAAAGAGTTGTGTTGTACCTACTGCCAACCTGCCCTTAGACCCCAGGGGCCCAGCTGCTTTGAGTGCACCCATGCTCTAGACTCTGGGTCCAAGGTCACTGTGAGCACATATGCTCCAGTCCCTAGCTCCACAGGCATCTATATAGTAGACATCATTGCCACCACCACCAGAAGAGTGCCCACAGCCAGACCTGGTGCCAAGAGGGGTTCCACAACATCCCCAGGGGAGAAAAAGACATTAGGAGGTGCCCAGCAATCTTTGTCCCCTAACAGCCCTCACATCTACTGCCTAAATCTGAAGATTTGGACACCTTGGACCCCTGTAATCTTTGCCAATACTAATCTCAACTGATGGAGCTGCATGGAGACTGCACTGCTGGGCCTGTCCTGTAGCTTGAACCACCACACAATCCCTAGGTGGTGTCCCTGCATTGATCCACAGGTGAAGGTTTCCTCCACCAAAACTAGTCTGTAAAGTCCGAAAGAGGTGTCTGCTCCATCTGATGCACAGACATCAACACAAAGTTACAAGAAATGGGACAAACCAAGTAAACATGACAACACCAAAGGAAGACAATAATTTTCTAGTAACTGAATCTAAAAAAATCAAGATCTACAAATTATTGGGCAAGAATGCAAAGTAAGTGTTTTAAAGTACCTCAGTGAGATACAAGATAACATAGGTGGACAATGCAATAAAATCAGGGAAATAATATATGAACAAAATGGAAATGGAAATCATAAAAAAGAGGCAAAACAAATTTGGGAGCAGAAGAATATAGAAAATGGAATGAAAATCACAGTAGAGAGCATTAATAGCAGACTTAATCAAGAGGTAGGAAAACTGAGTTCAAAGATAGCTTATTTGGAGTTTCCAATCGAGGAGAAAAAAGAATGATATAGAGGAAAGAAAGCCTAAGTGAACTGGGGAGGAGACTGACAATAAAATAATATTTACATTATGGAAGTCCCACAAAGAGGAAAAAGGGGAGAGAACAAGAGAGGGAGGGAGGGGAAAAAGCAGTTTTAAGAGGCGGTTTATAGCAATAAAAACCTACATTAAGAAAATGAAAGATCTCACTGAACAACCTAAATTTATACCTCATATAATGAGAAAAAGAACAAACTAAGCACAAAGACAGCAGAAATTGGGAAATGATATAGAGTGGAAATAAATGAAATAGACTAGAAATTAAACAAAAAAATTCAATGAAACTAATTCTTTTAAAAAATAAAAAATTGACAAACTTTTAGCTAGATTAAGAAAAAAAGACTGAAATAATTAATAAAAGCAAAACTGAAAGAGGAGACATTACACTTCATACCATAGAATACAAAGAATCATGATAGAAAAATTGGATAAATTCCTAGGAACATACAACCTAACAAGATTGAATCATGAAGAAGTAGAAAATCAGTTATCAGAAACTTTTTAACAAACAGGAGCTTCATTGGTAAATTCTACCAAACATTCAAAGAAGAATTAACACCAGTCCTTCCCAAATTCTTCCAAAGATATTAAAGAGGAGGAAATGCTTCTAAACTCATTTCAATAGGCAACATTCCCCTGATACCAAAGTCAGAAAAGGACACTCCAAGAAAAGAAAATTATAGGCCAGTATTGCTGATGAATATGAATGTAACAGCAGGAATAAGAGTGCCCACTCGCACCATCATCCTGGAAATCCTTGCCAATGCAATTACACAAGAAAAAAATCAAAAGTTATCCAGATTGGAAAAGAAGAAGTAAAATTATCTTTGCAGATGATATGATCTTGCATATATATATATAATATATATAATATATATTAATATTAATATATATATATTAATATTACATATAATATATATATTATATGCAATTACACAAGAAAAAAATCAAAAGTTATCCACATTGGAAAAGAAGAAGTAAAATTATCTTTGCAGATGATATGATCTTGCATATATATATATAATATTATTATATATATATATATATATATATATAAACCTTAAAGATACGTCCAAAAAACTGTTAACATGATAAATAAGCAGTAATGCGACAGGATCCAAAATCAACATGCGAAAGTCATTTGTATTTCTATGTACTAACAATGAACTATCCAAAAAGAAAGTAATCTCATTTTCAATAGTATTAAAAAGAATAACTTACTTAGGAATAAATTTAAATAAGAAGGTGAAAGACCTGTACACTGACAAGTAGGAGACAGTGATGAAAGAAACTGAAGGCATAAATAAATGGAAAGATGTTCTGTGCTCATTGTTGGAAGGATAATGGTATTAAATATCCATACTATTCAAAACAATATATAGATGCAGTACAATCACTATCAAAATTCCAATGATGCTTTTCACAGAATTGAACAGTCCTGAAGTTCACATGGCTTCTGTACAGGGAAAGAAACCAATAAATTGAAAATCCTACAGTGGGAGAAAATCTGCTTATTTTAGTGTTCATATTCTACTCTGTTACACAGTGGGTGCACAGCCCCCTCACACATATTGTGTTAGTGTTCGGGGCCTGCTCTGGCAGAAGCCGGTGCCCCACGAGGTGGCCAGTGAGCTGTGGGGACATCGTGGCAGCAAGCAGCCTAGGTGTGCCACTCGGGGGCCTCTGACATGTGGAGAGACACAGGCACCAGCGCACAAGTGCCGGCTGCCTTTCACTGAGTCAGCTGAGGGGTGTACTTACATGGCAGCACTATAAAGAAATAAGAGGAAATGGTGTCAAAATTAGGTACCCAGTGCTTGGGAAGGGGCAGCTGAGTCAGGGACTTCTCATCCTGGCTGTGCCCACTACTCCCAAAGCTTTTCATTTTTTATGCATTTTGTTTGTGTTTTTTAAAAAGAAATTTTTCAGTAAATGCCAAGTAAATTTGGAAAACACCATCCTGTATCCACTACTTGGACGTTCCTGGTCCTGTGAACACCTGGGGAGGCTGTTCACTGTGAGGGGTGCCCAGCTGTTGAGCTGCAGCCCATCACTTGTCCCTCTTTAGCCCCAGGCAGGATTCTGGCACTTTGTTGACCTTACCAAAGCCTGGTGTCAGGTCTTTGAAGTCCCTGCTCACAACTCACCACCAATTCTGTCTTCATCTACCCCTGTGGGGAATAGCCAGTGCACACAGTCAGAACTTTGTTTGCACAAACTCATCTGGTAGGTGGGCATGGAGGACACTTACAGACAGGCAGCAGGTTCAATGGCTGTGCTATGGGAAAGTCCAAAAGGACAGTGGTGTATTGTGGACACTGCTAGAGCAGAATGAGGAGGAGGGGTGACGGGTGCTGTGGACACTATTTCAGCAGGGGTTTGCGTGCAGGGCTGCTACCTGGTGTAGAAAGCATCTTTTTTGGCCAGAGAAATGCCAGTGAATGTGACCAGAGAGGCCAGTACAGAGGCCTTTTCCTATTTTCTCTAGACCCAGCACCCGGTAAAGACCAACTGTCCCTGGAGGAGAAACCTGGCATCCCGGCTGCTCCACAACTTCTGAGCCAAGCAGGCCCCAGGGACACCCCTGGCAGCACACCAGCCCCTTTGGTGCCATCCTCCCCTCCCGTGACAACTCTGCCCCAGGATGCAAGTGCATCAGCTGCCGGTCCCAAGCCAGAGCCAGCAGCAGGGGCTGCCGTGCAGGCAGGGGGCCCAGGGGCCCCTCAGGGGTTGGCCAGTGAGTGTGAGACTCAACGGCCAGTGGCAGAAATTCATGACACGCAGCTTGCCACAGGGTCCCTGGGTGAGGGTCAAGAGCCTTGCATCCCACCTGCAGAAGCCCCTCGCCACCCCCTGGGTCTGGGAGAGACTGTCTCATCCAGGAAGGGCAGTATCCAAGGGGAACTCATGCCGGCTCCAGCCCCTGTGCCCTGTGCCCCTGGTGGGGCCCCTCAGCCTGCCCTGGGCCAGCCCCTAGCACCAGTCCCCACTGCAGTGGGGGCTGTCAGCATGGCTGCCCCACAGCTCCCCAGTCCCCCACTGGGCCCCACTGCACCCCCGCAGCCACCCTCTGCCTTGGAGTCTGATGGGGAAGGGCCACCCCCCAGGGTGGGCTTTGTGGACAACACTATCAAGAGCCTGGATGAGAAGCTGCGTACCCTGCTCTACCAGGAGCATGTGCCCACCTCCTCTGCCTCAGCCGGGACCCCCATGGAGGCAAGTGACAAAGACTTCACCCTGGAGCCCCTGAAAGGGGACCGACCCCGCACAGAGGCAGCCAGGGGGGACCCGGCTCTGCTGTCCCAGCTGGAGGTGAGTGCCCTGCTTCTCCAAGTGGTGCTGTCTCTAGGGGGACCAGGACAGGGTAGGGGTCATACATAACTACATCCCACAACCCCCAACCTGGGGCCTGGAACCAGCCTTCAGACAGGGCAGAGGGCTTTTAGCTTAGCTGCAGCAGTGGCAGCAGGGGAGGCTCACAACTGTTTCTGTCTCATTTCTCTAGGTGGAAAAGTCAGAAATAGTCCCTGGGGGGGGATCCACATTGGAGCAGGCCACATCCTCATCGGCAGTGACAGGTAATGAGCCCCAGGCCACCAGTCCACCTCCCAGTACTTCCTTGCTCTGAAATATTCTGCATCTCTATCCTCACCATCCGCAGAGCACTGGGCCCAGGGCCAGAGCTGTGGCGATGCTCTATAGCCCACTGAGACCTAGCAGAGGCCACATGCCACATCTCAGGTGACAGACTGTCTGGAAATGAGAGCCACTGGCAGGAATCAGGACGTAGTCAGCCTGTCCCCCACAGGCTCCACTGACCAAGTGTTCTCACATGTGCTGTAGGGTACCCCCAACCCATTTTCTGCAGTAGGTTACAAGATACCCAAGGTTATCTTGGATGGGGCTGGATTTGAACAGATCCACAGAAGCTGCAGGGCTACGTGGAAATTCTGACATGGGACTCCCCTTGGCCCCTGGATCTCCTGTGTGACAGTGGACACGGTGCTGTAGTTTCATTACCTGAGAGCACCTGTGTTGGCCTGAGGGTGCTAGTCTGTCCTAAGTGGTATACTCCTCCTTGGCCTGGGATTTCTTGGGCAAATTATCAAGATGAGGATGCAGCTGAGCCTCCTAATTGGAGACTATGTGCACTAGTGGCAGGCACAGCTCTCCCGCAGCTCACAGCTGTGGGGGCCCCTAACTCTGGCCAGCTTTCCAGATGTGACACTCACCCATGCCATGCTTTGGAGGGGTGGGCAGTATGCATGGATCAGAAGCTGTAACACAGGATACTTCTCTGGGGAAGATGCAGGTACAGGCAGGGCGGAGCAGGTGAGAGGCTGGCTGAGTGCCTGCTGCTGCTCTGGGCCTCCCACATGAGCTGCATGCCATGGCACCTCTGCAAATGGGGAAGCAGCAAGGGACTCCAGGTGCTGGAGCCACTACTAAGCCACGCTTTCTGAGTGCAGGAGCATTGGGAGCTCCCAGGAAACAGATTCTGGGTTGGAAAGGTGATATTTCTGGTAGCCAGGGATGTCTAGACACAGAGGGAGTACAGTAGGCAGTGGATCCCCACATCTGGAGGTATGCAGAGAAGATGAGCACCACTGCAAGCCCTTGAAGAGGGGTTGAAGAGGGGTGTCAGGCATGCCCCGTGTTGGGGGTATATGGTAAGCGCGTCTCCTCAGGAATCTGGGTTGGGAGGATAGCCCTCTGCAGCTTCCTGGAGGCTTCTGGGCTCTGTCACCCTCACTGCAGTATGTAGGTTCAGCTTGAGTTATTCACGTGGCCCCTCCTGCCCACAGCTTTCTTTTGCTGTGGTTGGTCTCAGCTTAAGTGAGGCCCCCTACCCCATAGGCTCCCTGGACATGCTGCTTCTCATTCGCTCTCACAGCAGTCTCAGGAGGCTGGTCCAAGTACATGCTGGGTCCCCATCTGAGACAACTCAGATGACCTGACCTTCCCTAGATGCTGGCATCAGGGATAGAATCACCCTGTTGATCTCTTCCAGGTAAGAGATGTCAGGTGAGATAGGCGATGCCATCAGGTGATGAGATGACAAGTGAGACAGGTGACTTCATCAGGTGATGAGATGACAGGTGAGACAAGGGATGCCATCAGGTGATATAGCTATATCAGATGAGATAGGTGATCCCACCAGGTGATGAAATAACAGGTGAGAGTGATATAAGTGACGCCATCAGGTGATGAGATGATAGGTGAGACAGATGACTCCATCAAGTGACGAAGTGCTAGGTGATACAGATGGTTCCATCAGGTGATGAGGTGACCGGTGAGACAGGTGTAGAGTGCCTGACTACTCTGAAGGGTGGCGCAGGTGCTGCCCTAGTCTGCATGAGGTGGGATCGACTCCTTCCTGGGTGCGGAATGTTCCTATGACTGATGGGTAGGACACCAGTGTGTTTGCAGTATCTTAGTGCCAGGAGTGAGCTCAGCCGGCTCCGCAGGTTGCCCTATTACCCTTGGGCTGCTGCTCTCCCACCTGGTCTACTCACTTGGCCTGGCCAGTCCTTTATTCCCATCTCCAGCCTGAATAATGGTTTTGATGTTCCAACAGCAGAATCATCTTCCACTAACTCGCTGGGCTCTGATGGAGGATGTGTGGCTTCAGATTCACCCCCAGCACCCAGCGCCTCCCAGGTGAGGGCATTTCTCTGATGAGATGCTTGGCCAGTTGGTGGGGTGGTCTTCACTGCTGTTCAGGTGGAATCTTCTCATTTTGCTTATTCCAAAGGATGCTGCCGCTTCTGTCACTCCTGCACAATTGGAACGCACAGGCCAGAGCAGTGGGCCCCCCAGGGAAACCTTGGCTAACCCCATGCAGATCTGCCCCGGGATGTTGACTGAGGACGGCCAGGCCAGCCACCCCCAGATGCATAGTGCTCTGGCCTCGGGCTCCCCTCGGAAGCGGCCAGGGCAGCAGGATAGCAGCTCGCCAGCCAAAACCATGGGCCGGTTCTCTGTGGTCAGCACCCAGGACGAGTGGACCCTGGCCTCCCCCCAAAGCCTTCGGTACTCGGCCCCACCGGATGTCTACTTGGACCAGGCTCCCCGCAGCCCTGATGTGAAGTTGGCTGTGCGGCGGGCCCAGACGGCCTCCTCCATTGAGGTTGGCATGGGCGAGCCCGCGTCCAGCGACTCTGGGGATGAATGCCCACGCCGGAGGCTCCCCCCACAGAAGAACACCTCCCTGCCCAGTGGTGGGGGTATGGCCAGTGACTTGGTGAAGAAGGCCACCGCCTTTCTGCACAGGTCCTCGCCAGCTGATTCGCCGGGCCTGGGGACACCCAGCAGGACGGGTGTGAAGGTCCCTACTATCAGCGTCACTTCCTTCCACTCCCAGTCATCCTACATCAGCAGTGACAATGACTCAGAGATTGAGGATGCTGACATCAGGAAGGAACTGCAGAGTCTGCGAGAGAAGTAGGTCCCAGGGGACAATGGGCCCCAAGGTGTCCAGCCAGTAGCAGCAGGGAGACATGTTGTGGCCTGAGGCATCAGGGAAATGTGTTGGGATTGAAGTCCAGGTCACGCGGTGTCCTTCTAGTAGGTCAGCTCGGTCCCTGGGTCTAGTAAGATAGCTTGGGCCATGCCTTTGCCCCACACACCCTGATTACCCAACCCTGGACAGCTCCTGGGTCATTCAGACCCAGGTCTTTCTCAGACTCATTTTTACCCTCAGTGAGTGTGGTTGGGGGACCCCAGGGTGCTGTTGCACCCTGGAGCTCTGGCGGGAGAGGAGGGCCCAGGTATAGTTACTGCGGTGTGGAGAGGCTGCTGTCTGTGGAGGAGTGATAATGACTGAGTGTACTTGGTGTGGGCTGAAAAATGCAGGCTCAGGCCCCATGACTGCTACCCATCTCCTCCCCACCCTGCTCTCTGGGGTCTGTGCCCACCTCTCTACCCTACCCCGGCCACTGTCAGAACCAGCTCTGAGGACTTTTGGAGTCTCGCCCCCATCTCCTAGTGCCATATAACTGGGTGGCAGGGTGGGCTGTGGCCTTAGAGTGAGGACTCCATAGTTCTTCATTGTAACCTCTCACAGGTGGTCACCCTGGGATTCAATGGCCAGTGGGAACAAGGGGTCTGGTTACCCACCACCATCGTGAGGGGGGCCAGTGGATAGGGAGGAAGGTCTGGATGTAAGAAAATCTGGGAGGTGCCACTGTGGAATCTGAGGAAGGCCTATAGCCTGGGGGCGGGGTGGGGGGGTGGAAGTGGGGGTGGGACCTGGAAATGAAGGGGCAGGGCCTGAGATGAAGGGAGCCAGGGAAGGAAAAGGCAATATGAGAAGCACCTCAAAGGAGAGGATTTAGAGAGCCCGAGAAGGGGGAGATGAAGATAGTAAGTTAGGTTCTCCTGCCTAGTAGTAGTGCAGTAGAGCCTGTGGAAAGGGGTAACCATTGAGAAAGAGGGTAGGGAGAATCTTGGACCTAAGGGGATTTGGTGCTGTCTGATAGGAAGCAGCCAGCAAACCTGGCTCGGGTAACCCCTCTACCCAGGCACCCTGTGGATGCAGGTGCTGGACCCCACCAGCATTTCCAGTTCTTAGAGCTGCCAGGATCCTCTGGGCAAGGTGGAAGGAAGGGGTGGGCTTTGGGAAGAAGACTCAGAGTGGGGGTATCCTCTAAGTACTCCTGAATCACATGCTCCCTGTGACCTAGCAGCCCCCCTCAGTCAGTTTCACCTGGGAACATCACACCATATGAAAAGCTTTTCCAATGCAGCAGCAGTTTGCTCTTTATTCAGTATTTGTGGCTAAGGCCACATGGGTTTCTTTTTTTAAATACCTGAAAAAGAGTCATTTTTCTACAACAAACCTGGCAAGTACTGAGGTTACAAGAGGTAAAACTGGAACTTGCTTTCTCATTTCCAACCTTGAAAAACACCTGTTTCCATAGGCACACTTGGAGAGGAGATGGGCCTGGACTGAGGCCAAGGGGCAGCAGCCCACCAGAGACATTGAGGGGCTGGCATCAGGCTTCATGCCAGTTACAGGAAGGGTATGAGGGAGGTGGCCCGGGGCTCAGTCAGCAAGGCCCAGAGAGAGCTGTCAGGGAGCCCCCGGCCCTCTGGAGTATCCAAGAAACGGTCCTGACCCACCAGCAAGGGTCTGCTTGCCCTCTCCCCACAACTTAACCACAGCTTCCCATCCATGGGGCCTGTCAACTTCTGCTCAGTGCCTGGGGGCAATGGTGCTTGTGGGGCTCAGCCTGAGCTAGGAGTTACCCTGCAGATCTCCAGACACCCATAGTATCACAAGAGTAAGGCTTTCTCCAACCAAGTTGCTCTCCACCCTTCTCTCGAGAGTAGGAAATACCCCTGACTTGCCCATAAATGAGCCCCTGGGTAATAGTCCCCCCGGGGCTGAGCCCCCATGGTGTTTCTCTTCGTCTGGATCTGTGTGTGGGGTCTGTATTGAGTACATCAATGTAAATGAAGTCATCCACACCCACACTCCCAAAACTGAAAACAACAGCTTTTAAGAGTCTGGTTATCTGAAAATGTTACTCTCCTTCATGCAGTGCATATCATGGGCATGCTGCCACCCGAGACTCCACTGGGCTTAGATGAAAACAAAGTGACATTTAAATGCCTGGGTCCTTGTGCAGCACAATTCATGTGCCCAGGCTGCTCAGTGGGCACCCTCCTCCTTACCCCCAGCCTCAGGGTGCTTGGAAGCCAAGACCCACCACTGCTCTCTCTGCAGGCACCTGAAGGAGATCTCAGAACTGCAGAGCCAGCAGAAGCAAGAGATTGAGGCCCTGTACCGACGCCTGGGCAAGCCGCTGCCCCCCAACCTCGGCCTATTCCACACTGCACCCCCTGCTGGCCGTCGCAGGAGGACCAGCAGGAACAAACTGAAGGCGGGGAAGCTGCTGAACCCACTAGTGCAGCAGCTCAAGGCTGTGGCTTCCAGTACAGGTCGGGGTGCCCTGCTGGCTGGCCTAGGGGTGGGCTGGGATGGAGTGGGGACAGCTCGGTGCCAGAGTACACCAGACCTGGGAGAACACTTCTCCAGTCCCTTACACTGAAGCAGGGAAGTCCCTGGCAGGTCTCAGGGGCCAGGATCTGTGCCCTCTGTGTAGAGAGGGGAGGCCAGCCTTCAGCTTTAAGGAGATGCCTCATTGGAAGATGAGGGCCTCAACTGTCCCAGGCTGCAGTGTGCTATGGAGGAAGACCCCCCCCCCCCCAATCTTTTCTTCCCTGCAGGGACAGGGTTTCTTCCTCTGGTCCCTTTTCTCAGGCACATGTCACCTGCTAACTGGGGACAAGAGGTGCCTTTGGGGGAGAGGGAGGGTGGTAAGAACTCCTGCCCTATTAACCAAAATGCCTGGCTAACCCATTGGCCTGGCTCAGGCAGCACCCATCCCACCTCCTTTCATGGGGCTGGCCTTGTTGGGCCTCTCATAGCTGCCCCACTGTGCCCACCATGGGCAAGTAACATTGAGGGTATACCTGACTCTGAGCCCCTGAACCCTGGGGTGGAGACCAGTGAGCTGAAATCCCCAAGCTTCCAGGCAGAAAACTGGCTGTCAGCCCTCCTTGGCATTGCGGATAACCTGCAGGGCACTCCTCCTTGAATTATAAGAATTCCAAGAATTCCATGCTGATTTCTAGAATTAACAGCAGACTCATTACAGTGCAGAAGCCCACTGGCCCACCCTGAGCTCAGGTGTGCATCTCCAGATGTGCTGTGTCCCTTTCACTGAGTTTGCACTCGCCTGCACGGCCTTGGCAATGGGTGGAGTCTGTAGTTGCTTTCTTTAATCTCTCCACATCCCCTGCAGAGACCACAGGGAGCGCCTTGACCGGCAGGGCCTCAGTTTCCTCAAGGTCACCCAGCAAAGAGCAGTGAGGACCCCGCGCTGCGCTGCTGGTCTGCCTGCGCGCCTCATCCTGCCTGTCCCCCTTCTCCCCACCCAGGTCACTTGTCAGACTGCAGCCGAGGCCCTCCTGCTAAGGACCTTGCCAAAGCCAGTGTGGGGCCCGCGGCAGCCGTCCCGGCGGCCGTCCCGGCTTCAGACCCATGTGGGAAGGCAGTTCAGACCCGGCAGCCTTGCTCCGTCCGGGCTTCCCTGTCTTCGGACATCTGCTCCGGCTTAGCCAGTGATGGAGGCGGAGCGCATGGCCAAGGTGATTCCAGCTTGCCGTCTCCTGGCATGGTCTAGCGTGTCGGGCCCATGTGATGTAGAGGGGACGCAGCTGCGGCCAAAGGCTGCCAAGCAGCTTTTTAAAGAACAAGACATAGACCTAGCCCTGAGAGCAGAGAGTGGAGTACCCCAATCGCCCAGTCTTGTGTAAGCGGCTCAGAGGGAGGCGATGCTTTGCTAGAGCCGGCCTGGGGAAGGAGCCAGGATACCGGGAGGTCAGCCAGTTGTGGCATGTGTGTGAGCTCTGCGCCGGTTCCCAGGCACTGGCTGCCCCATCCTGCCCCCGAGCCACACAGGTCCTTCCTTCAGGAGGGCCGGCCGGGACGAGGGCTCAGCTCTCGAGCTGGGAGTCTGGCCTTGAGGAGGAAATGCTCATCACCGCTGCTGTGGACGCGGTGGCTGCGCGGTGAGGTGCTCTACCCCATCTCTGTGCAGAAAAGCTGTGGTGACTGCTGAAGGCCTCCCCACCCTGCCCCCCATACTCTCCTGGGGTCCGCCTCTATTCCACTCCTACGTTGCCTCCTTTCCATCCTGTGGTCGGTGGCTTTGGTCCTCTGGGCTGGGCTAGATGGAGCCGTGGCTGTTAAGTGACGAGGCTGATGTGGCTGGTGGTGTGTAGGAGGAACCCCAGAGACCTGTACTTGATGCCTGTCTCTTTCTCTTCCCTCTATATTCATTTGCAGGCTGGACGCTTTACCACCCAACGTCTGAGAGAGTGGCCCATAAGTCTAGTAGCAAACCTCGCGCTCGATTCCTCAGTGGACCCGTGTCTGTGTCCATCTGTCTGTATTTGTTCTTTTGTATTTTATCATCTCCTGGCCCTTGGTTTCTTCCCACCCCCCTGTCTTCATTACCTTCATACATTGTGTAGGATGCTACCCCACTCCCATTGAAACCCCTGTTTAATATCGAAAGTGGAACCCCGTCCACGCCCATCCTCTGGCCCAGAAAGAGCCAGTGCATGCTCTCGGCCGTGCCCGGGCACCAGCATGTGTGGCTGCTGCCCTCTTGGCCTTGGGCATGCCGCCCCCACACCACCCAGGCGCTCCGCATTCCTTTCGTCACGCGTTTAATTTTTTTTTTAATGTTGGACGTAGTTTTATTTCTGTTGCTATTGTGGCAAATACACAAGTCCACTGTCCCAAGTTCCAGCGACAACAAAAGACAACCCCGGCCTTCTCTAGACGCATGGTGTGTTTCGCACATGTCTGGACTCTGAAGACATGCATGTAGCGAGCCGATACAGTGGTAGAAGGTCACTGGAGGGTGTCACTTCCATACAAGGGTCGTATCACGACAGTACTGTCACGCCCACGCCCCACTCCCTGCATGTGGAAATGCTGAGAGAACTGCTCCAGCTAGGACACCCGCCCCTAGGCCCCCCAGGAAGCTAGGTCTGCTCACCTTGGGAATCTCTCTAGCCCCCGACATGCCCTCTGCCCGCCCGACCTTCTCTCTAGCTGGAGCACTTTCCTTGGTGTATTTCCCCCTCATCTCATGGCCTCCCCGAGATGAAGTCGATCATGCAGTCCCTTAAAGCTCTGCTGAACCAAAGCGCAGTTCCAGCCGTCCTCAGACACCCCGGCACTCCCTCCTCGCACCCACGGACTCGTGTCCAGGAAAGGCACACCTGCTCAGGGCCATCCAAAATCCTTTTTAGCCCTCAGAACAATTGGCAAGTGAATCCAAAACTGTAGAGGTTTCAGGGATTTTTTTTTTTTTTTCAACAGAAAAATTAAGCTTTTTACCAATTGTATTGGACACGCTGTTTTGGGGCACGTGGCTTTTTGCTCGTACAATAAAGATACATTGTTCTTGTTGGGAACCAGAGGCCACGTCCACAGTAGTGTCTTTCAGAGCTCGGTGTCCATTCCCTTCAATGGTCCCATGTCGCCCTCCCTGGGAGGGACAGACGGGAGGCACAAGGACCACATAGAAGTGCGGGGGGGCTGCCTGGTGGCCTCTCGTCCAGTAGCTGGATGCCTGTTTGACCTTGAGTGTCATCAGGGCTACTGGTTAGTTCCTGAGTTGGGTAGTAGGGAGGGGAGACTTACATGTCCTGCCTGCCTCGTACCATTGCCTGGGTTGCCCATGTGTGCCAAGGAAGCTGCTAATCTGAGGGCACCTGGGTCTCCAGGTGTCTTGAGGTCAGAGGGGTGCCTGCATTGTTGCCAGGAGACCCACTGGCCCAGTGAGGGACATAACTTGTAGTACATGGAGTTTACTCGGGGCACCTGGGGTACCAATGTGTGAGTGATCTGAGGCCATTGCCACACTACTTTTCTACCCATGTGGTTTTGCCTTTTATTTTAAGAGTTTTTATTTGTTTCACTATTAATTATTGTTCTAAGATTAAAAAATTTTGAGGCACAGCAGGGACAGAGGATTTGGGTTTTCTCTGTCCCTGTGGCTAGGAGAAAGGAATGCGTGAGGTATGGCTGGTGGCAGGCAGGGTGATATGGCTGGGTAGGAGGATTCTAAGTGGTAGCCCTGCCTGGTGGCCTTGTTTCCTCTGATGCTGTGAATCCTGTGGTATTGCCCATGCAATAGCCCAGCACCTCTCAACATGTCCTGGCTGAGTCCTTTATCTTTTCAGGCTTACAGTGTGACCCCCACATGACACTGCTTGGTCATGCTCCTGGCAGCCCCTGTGACTGAGCTCCACTGCAGCTCCAACAGGGCAGGATACCTGAGCCTCTGTCCCGGCCCCTCCTGGAGCCACTGTCATCTGGTTCCTAGGTGACCAAGTTGCTTTAAGGTCTGAGAGGGCTGAGGGATGAATGACTGGAGGAAAGTTCAAAGCTGGTTATGCCCTCCTGAGGGTTGAGAGGCAGTAGGGGAGAAGGTACTAGGTAGGGGTGGCTGAGCACACAGGTGTGCGGAGGACCCTGAAGTGTGCTTGCCCAGGGGGATCCAGGTCACTCAGTGGGGCCCCAGTTGGCTCAACTGCAGATGCAAAGGGAGCTGAGCTTGGGCATTGAGGCCCAGCTGGCCCAGCCTGAGGTAGAGACCAAACCCAGAGAAGGTTTTCAGTTTGCTGCCTTGAACTGAACAGGAGACAAGGCTCTGGGAAACTAAAACCCATGTCACATTTTTGAAGCACAGAAAGAAAGGGAAACTAAGAGGAAATGAAAGGATCCAGGCAGGGAGGGGAAGCTGGTTGGAGATGTCTGGGCTATCTGTGGTAGAGCAACAGGTGACTGGGAGTTGCAGGTGAGGTGCTAGTGGGGAATCAGGTGAGCCTATGTGGATAGATGCCACCAGCTCCTGGATGGAAAGCATGGGAAGGGGACATTCTTGGGGAGGGACAGCCCTAGAGGGTAAGCTATTGAAGGAGTGGGTGGGCAGACCCCCAGGGAGGGTTGTACCCTTTAACAGGGGTGAGAATCCAGGCACAGAGCCTGTGGTAGCCATCCATACTACAGGACTTTTCTGTGGTCATATGGGTTCAGGGGAGCTCGGAATATCTGAACAGGAATAAGAGTCATGGAGGTGCAGGTCAGCTATAGAAGCCCTGTGTCCTAGTGTCTTGTCGATCAGAAGCTGATGTAGGCCTATTGACCCCTCTTCCAGCTATTCATCTGGGCCAAGGCAGGAGCTAACAACATTCCAGGTCTGTGTCAATGGGGTCAGCATGGCGTTATTCCCTGTGCTGTTGGCCTGGTGTCTATGCTGCGGTGGATTTGACTCTGGTACTTCTGAATGCTGCAGGGTAGCTATTCAGGTCCTGACGTCAGTCTGGAGTGTTTCAGTTCCTCTCTGGGGCCCACTGAGGTGGGTGTGGGAGAGGGCCCTTTGACAGGACAGGAGGGACATCCAGTGATGCCCTTCATCAGACATACTACACGTACACAGGGCACTAGACTGACATGGTGAGAGCTGCCCCCATAGCAGGCTGTTGTGGGTCCCTGTGCCTCAGGCTTTGTGCCACCCCGGTGATGGAACTTGGAGTGAAGTTACCCTATGGTAGAGACACACCCTGCTTCCTAGTTTATGCTACATGGGCAAATTCAGGCACTTTTCCCAGTTTAAGAAGTAGGTACCTTAATATGTAGACACCTGGATGGCATTTGGTCCCTCTGTGTCCTGTTTCTTCTCAGGCCTGAACTGAGAGCTTCAGCATTCTGCAGCCTGGGCATTTCCTGAGACCCTGGCCTGGAAGTGGGGATGGGCAGCTGGGTGCTCCTGAGAGCTTCTGGAGAAGTGTTGTACACAGGACACAGTTGTCCTGAGGCTGCATAGCTCCCCCACCCAACTCCTGCCATGTGAAAGCTTTTCTAGTCGTTCTGGGGTCTCCAATATTCTTGGGGCCTTGGCTAAGGAAGTATTCTGGGGGGACCTCCACTCTGCATGGGAAACTAGGGGTGGGGCTTGGTAAGCTGTCATGCCACCTGTGGGTCTGGGTGGCATCCTGTGGGCTCCGTGGGGTGTCCTGTGGGTGTTGGTTCTCTGTGGGGTCTCCTGTAGGCCCCACATGATTGATTCCCCCTGTGCCCTTGCATGGCTGCCTCGTGTCCTGGTGGCTGTGTGGGCAGGAAGCTGGGGGTATATTCCAGCACAGAGTGCATGAACTGAGCTTGGGAGTCTTGTTTATCGGCTACCATCTGCGTTGTAAGTGTTGAGGCAGGCCCCAAGTTAGGACACAGAGCTTTCGGAGGAGGCTAAAGGGACAGCCTAAGGGTGGACTGAGCTCTGGAATGTGCTGGCCACCGACTGTGTGGTGACTCTGACTGGTTCTGCGTTTTTGCTGAGTGATATGACCTCTGTGAGGAGGGACGCCATCCCTGGTTTTTGTTTAAAGGTACGCCTTCAGGGCTGGGAGCCATCTGTGCTTCTGTCACCTTAGGCTGTGTGTGGCAAGGGCGTGGTGTCTTCCAGGGCCCTAGGCCTTGGGTTCCCTTGAGCTCCCCCTGGTGGCTCTGAGCAGGAGGCTCCTGTGGCTAGCGTGTCCTCTTTCCTGGATGTCTGACAGGAGTCAACCCCACACGCAGAGTCCAGCCACAGCAACAGCTGCCAGGCTGCACAGAATGACTTTTTAAAGAACTTGCTGCTGTTAGGCTGCAGGGCCCTGGCAGGACATTTAGTCCCTCATCCTTGGGTTGTCCACAGGGGACTACTGTCCTACAGAGGACACTGCAACCACATGAACCCCATGGGGAAATCGGCACAGACCCAAAGCTCAGGGAACCCTCCTTCCTGTGTTGCAGAGAGCCCTGTGCTCCTGGAGGGTTCCACCTCGGAACACAGACAGCCAAGGCCATCTGAGCTCCCATGGAGAGACCATCTGTCCAGACCACCCTGCCTGGCCTTCTGTTGTTTGCACGTTAGAGAACTGACAGAACATCTCGCCTTTCCCCAGTCAGCCTCAGGAATGCACAGGAGGAGCTAAAATACTCATAAAACTCACAATTCAATTTGAGCTTGGTTTATGAGGCTAGGGCACACGACTCCTTAGAAGTCTGGACTGACGTTTGCCCCCAACCCCTGGGCAGAGGCATTTCAGACAGGGCAGGTCAGCATGGCCGGGCTCTCTGAGACCCTTAGAATGGTGGAATCCCTCACAGTGAGAGTGCTGGCCATGGTTGTGCAGGGTGCTGTGTTATTGGCAAGGGACTGTGGGCGGGAGTGCAGACAACCCTCCCTGCTGGTGTGACCTTGCTGAGTGACCTTGGGGACATCTGAGCTGTCCTTGCCCGACCCTCCTCTGCCTGCCTAGCTTCCTGGAAGGCTGCAGAGTAAACCGGATGTGGCAGCCCCTCCTGGCCAGCTCATCTGCTTTGCAGGTGAGCACTGACCAGTCAGGTCATGTCAAATGCTAAAGTCAGTGTATTGCCTGCCTGTCTTAGCACTGACAGCCTTCAGGAAGAACAAAGTCTAGAGCATCTAATGGTGGTCTGATAACAGGAGGCCAGAAGGTTCCAAACACAGGTTTAGCTCTGCCTCTGTGGACACAGAACATCAAAAAAGAGACAGAGGCTTTGTAGAGAATTAGGGTTGGGCCCTCTCACTCCCTCCTTAGACAGTACCCCTTGGATCTCCTCACTGGATGCCCACTGCTGGCCTGATCAGGGATCTGGGATTGGCCTCAAACCCGCAAAACAATGTATCTTATTGCACTTGGAAAACCTCCATGGGCCTGGCAGTGGGCAGTACCGTACTGGCTCCATTGAGAGCCCTGGTGGCCAGTGTCCGCGGGCTTCCCTGCCTCAACCAGTGGGGCTCCTGAAGCCTTGGTTTGAAAGCCAGGTGGTGTGCTTTGCTTTTTTTACTTTTGTTTTCTTTTTCTTTTTTTTTTTCCAATGCTTCTAGACACACACACACACACACACTTCTACCTGGAGCTTGGAGGCTTGACCCTGCACCTCCGCCCTGGCGAAGCTCTTGTGAATCTGCACACTGACTCGGGCACCCTGTTAGCCAGGGTGGCTGCCCCTTCTCTCTGAACTGCAGGCCTTGTCCTCCTCGCACACTGATGACCTTTGCTTAGAGTGTGGTGGCTTGTCCCCCGTGTGTGCTGTCCTGCCTAACCCTGTGGTCTTGTGTCGTTTCTTCTTCCCTTGCAGGGTCTGCCTTGAAGCGTCTCTGTCTAGGCAAAGACCACAGCAGTCGTAATTATCGGGTTTTTTACGCCTTGTTGCTCTCCATGCATGGGCTTTATTGTGCTAGTGCGCTTCAGGGTTTCCGGGTCGGCCAGAGCTGGGGGCAGGTGGGCAAGTGAGGGCCTGCTCCGAGCCCACCCTCTGTGGCCCACCTCGCCTGGCTTAGTGGGATAGTTGCCCTTGGGCACCCCTTTGTTTCCCTGGCTCCTAGAGTTTGTGCCTTTTTGCCTTCCCATCTAGAGGGATTTTCCCTCTCCGGAACAAGCACATGTTATTAATTGGCTCCTTTTCCAAAACCATAGGAATGAGTATTTCCTTGAAGTGCTAGAGATGAGGCCCCCAGAGGAGAGATGCCAGATGAAATGGGTATCAGTGTACCTGGGCTGCCCACACTCTCCTCTTGCGCCCAACTTTTTTTTCTTTTTTCTTTTCTGGCTGAAAGTTCATGTAGAAATAGCTCCATGTATGTAAAATCTCATCACTAATGTTTAATTGTGTCTGTGCTTTTTCATCGCTAGCCACTAAAGTAGACTACATTTTGCAACGGCTTGTTTGAAGAGATGGTCATTAGGCTATTTTTTTTTTTAATGCAGTAAAATTTTAAATTGGGTTATTCAAAATTGTCAACTAGAAATTAGGTTTCTTTGGTGGATGAAGGGGACATATTTTAAGAAAATGAAACAGTCCTGTTACAATCTTTAAAAATAAAATCACTGAAGTGGCCAAGTGCTCTCTCCTTGTCCAGCCCACCTATGTCTCACAGTAGGCCCAGCCCTATCAGGCAGAAGGCTGTGGGTACTACCCCTTCTATGAGCACCTGCCCCATATACCCTGGTGAGGAGAAGGTGCAATTGCATTAAAATTCACAGGCATTCCAACAGTCAACCAATGAAAGGACTTTACCTTGCTAGGACAGCAGTCATTATGTGCTGGCCACTCTGCCCTAAGTGACAACACTCTGAGTCCTCATGATACAGCTGGGAGTGTGGAGACCTGAGATCCTGCCCCAGTTTGTGTCTCACTGTGCCAGGACTTCTAAGCTCTACCATGTGGGCAGCTGGCAGTTCTGGGAAGTATGAGTGCAGAGTGGGGTGCTGAGATAGTTTAACTAGGGTCTATCCCATGGCTGGGCAGGTAAGATGGATCATGGCCATCTGGTATAATCCAGCCCCCCATGGCCTGTGGAAATGCTCCACCATGGGCCCCAAATGCAGACCATCTCCTGAAGCAAGGTGTTGTCTGTCTAGGTGAGACCATTGTGAGACCGAGGAGCTGGCCGTGGTGCTGGCCTGCAGTGTCACCAACCCTGGCCTGTGTGTGCCTCTCTAGGGTCCTCCACCAGCAGCCTGGTCCCAGGCCCCGAGCCAGGCCCTCAGCCAGCCCTGCATGTTCAGGCCCAGGTGAACAATAGCAACAACAAGAAAGGTACCTTCACGGATGACCTGCACAAGCTGGTGGATGAGTGGACAAGCAGGACGGCGGGGGCCACGCAGATGAAACCCTCACTCAACCAGCTGAAACAGACGCAGAAGCTGCACAGCATGGAGGCCCCAGCAGGCCAGCCCCCGGCCCCTGGAGAGGCTCGGGCTGTAAGTGGGGTGTGGGACACAGGCCTGCTCAGGGACCCTCAGCTGGCAAGTTAAAGGGAGGGGTAGGAGCGGGGTTGCAACCCCACATCTCAGCAGAGTGGCCCCAGCCTGGTATTTCCCTGATGATCAGTGATATTAAGCATCTTTTCATGTGCTTATTGGACCCTTGTGTATCTTCTTTGAAGTAATAACAATTCAAGTCTTTGACCCATTTTCAAATGAGGGTTTTTGTTGTTGTTGTTATTGAGTTTGAGAACTATATTCCTATATGTTCTGGATATGAATCCTTTATCAGATATATAATGTGCAAGTATTTCTTCCCATTCTATGGGTTGACTTTTCACTCTGTTGATATTTTGACACACTTTTTAATTTTCTTAAAGTTCAGTTTATCCTTTTTTTTTCCTTTTGGTGGTTTCCATGTCTTTGGTGTCATATCCAAGATATCATTGCATAATTCAATGTCATTAGGCTTTTTCATTATGTTTCCTTCTGAGAATTTAATAATTTCAGCTCTTATTTGTAGGCATTTTCCCCATTTAATCTAGGCATTTTTTATCTAGGCCTTTCTTTATTGAATTATCTTGTTGCCCTTGTTGATAATTAACTGACCATATATATAAGGGTTTATTTCTGAATTCTCTATTCCATATTGTCTCTATATCTGTCCCCTTGTTAATATCACACTGATTTCTCTAGCTTTGTACTAAGTTTTGAACTCATGAAGTATAAGTCTCCAATTTTATCCTTTTTCAAGATTGTTTTGATTATTGAGATCCTTTAAGACTTCATGCGAATTTTAGAATGAATTTTTCTATTTCTTGAAAAAATACCTTTAAGATGTTGACAGTGATTACATTTAACCTGTAGATCACACTGGGTATTATTGGCATAGTAACAATATTGAATCTACCATTCTATGTCTTCCCATTTATGTCTTTAATTTCTTTTGACAATGTTTTATAATTTTCAGCATGTAAGTTTCAACTTCTTAGTTAACTTTATTCCAATTTTATTATTTAAGTTTTCAGTGTAACTGTTTTCTTAATTTCCCTTTAGATTGTTCATTGCTGCTGTATAGAGATGGAACTGATTTTGGCTTGGTGATTTTGTACCCTGCAACTGTGCTGTATTCATAAATTAATTCTAGCATTTGTGTGTGTGTGTGTGTGTGTGTGTGTGTGTGTGTGTATTCTTTAGGGTTATCTACCTGTAAGATCATGTCATCTCTGAACAAAGATATTTTCACTTCTTCCTTTCCAATTTGCATGCCTTTTGTTTCTTTTTCTTGCCTAATTTCTCTAATAGAACTTCCAATATTATAGTGAATAGATGTGGCACAAGCAGACATCCTTGTTTTGTTCCTAATCTTAGAGGAAAATCTTTCAGTCTTACACTATTTGGTATGATGTTAGTTACATGTTTCTTGTATATTGCCTTTATCATATAGAAGAAATTCCATTCTGTTTCTAGTTTGTTGAGCACTTTTGTTGTAAAAGCATTTTGGATTTTGTCAAATGCTCTTTCTGCAATGAGATAATCATATATTTTTTGTCCTTCATCCTATTAATAGTATACTATATTGATTAATTTTCATATGTTTAGCTACTCTTACTTTCCTGGGATAAATCCCCCCTGGTTATGGTGTATACCCCTTATAATATGCTGCTAAGTTTGGTTTGCTAATGTATTACTTAGGATTTTTTTGTCTGTGTTCAGAGGTATTAATCTGTAATATTCTTTTCTTGTGATATGTTTTTCTGGCTTGGTATCAGGCTTGGTATTTTATCCTTATACCTTTTTCTAGTGATGGCCACATAGAACCAGGAATCTTTCCCTTCTATTATGGGAAGAATTTGAAAAAAAAAATTGTTGATTCTTTAAATGTGTGGTAGAATTCACCAATGAAGTAATTTGATTCTGGGATTTTCTTTGTTGGAAGGTCTTTGATTACCAGTTCAGTCTCACTACTGATGATAGGTCTATTCAGGGTTTCTGTTTCTTCTTGAGTCAGTTATGGCATTTGTGTGTTTCTAGCAATGTGTTTATTTCATCTAACTTACCCAGTTTGATAGCTAGTTAGAACTGTCAATTATTTGATCTTGCTAAGAACCAACTTCTGATTTCATTGATTTTTCTGTTTGTTTTCTATTCTGGTTACCTCTGCTGTAATCTTTATTATATGGCATAAAGATAGCTTATTGATTTTAAGACCTTTCTTCTTTTTTCATGTAGTCATGTATAGATAAAAATTCTCTTCTTTTGCTCCATCTTATAAATTATGACATGTTGTGTTTTCCTTTTCATTTTTCCCAAGTATTTTCTGATTTCCTTTGTGATTACTTCTTTACACTCTTCTTCGTTTGCCTATTTATGAGCATGTTGTTTAATTTTTACATGTATGTCTTTCCTAATTTCTTGTTAGTGATCTTTTAATTCCATTCACTGTATTAAAAAAGATACTTTGTATAACTTTGTGGCCTAATATATGATCTATTCTAGAGAATATATTCTACTGTTGGGTGAAGTATCCTGTAAATGTTTGTTAGTGCTAATTGACTTATGGTGGTATTCAAGTCCACTCTTTCCTTACTGGTCCTCTCTCTAGTTGTTCTATCCATTATTGAGAGTGAACTGTTGAAGTCTGCAACTATTAGTTCACAGTTGCCTATTTCTTCCATGGTTCTCTCTCTATTTGTATCATATAATTTGGGACCTTGTTATTTGGTGCATATAATTATAATTATTATAGTTCCTGATGGATCAATAGCTTTTGTTTGTTAATGATGAATGTGAAATGGTATTTTTAATTTTGTTGAATCCAGTTTATCAGTTACTATGGTAATTTTTTCTAGTGCTAAGGAAACTTAATCTCTCCCAAGACCATGTAGATAGTCTATGTCTTTTCTGGACACTTCATAGTTGCTGAAGGGGTCAAGTTGATTTTTTCCTGCTTGCATACCTGGTTGTTCCAGCACCTTCCTTTCACATAGAATTGCACAAACCTTTGTCAAGTGGCCTTAGACGTGCAGATCCATTCTGAATTCACTATTTTGTTCCATAAAGCCATTTTTTTATCCTTATGACAACCCTACATCCTCTTAGTTTTTGTAACTTTATAGTGAGTTTTCTATCTGGTAGTGTAAGACCTCCAGTGTTGAACTTCTTCAATAATTTACTTGTTTTTTTATGTCCTTAATATTTCCATCTGTATTTTAGAAATAGCCTGTCAATTTCTATTTAGTAGCCTTCTGGGACTTTGACTGGGATTGTATGAGTCTATTGATCAACTAAGTGAGATATGACATTAACACAGTATCTTGTGTTCCTATGAACGTGATATCTCTCTGTGTCTGTTTTCTCTCAGCAAAATTTTATAGATTTTAGGATAAAGGTATTGCATATCTTTTATTAAATTTATCCTAAGTAGTTGATGTTTTAGAATATGGTGTAAATCATATTGTTTATATTTTCATTTTCAAATTGTATGTTGCTAATATATAGAAATATGGTTTATTTTGTACCTTGTATCTTGCAATCTTGCTAATTTTGCTTGCTTGTTCTAGAAATTAGTTTGTTCTTTTGGTTTTCTCCAAACACAATCTTGTCATCTGCAAATAGGGATGGTTTTCCATTTCTGTTCCTTTTATATATTGCTGACACTTCCCATGTGGTGTGGGATAGAATAGGGAGGAGCTAGGGAGAAGTGCATTTGGCATTCCACATGGGCACAGATCTGGCTGGGGGCTCTGCAGAAACTCCGCACCAATGTTGGAGGGGCCTCCTGACTGCTGTGCCTGCTTTTTGGGAAGAGTGTAGAATTCCTTAGAGGCTCCCTGTGTCTGTGGAGATGTAGCAGTTTCTATGGGGTCAGTGACCTGGTGTTCCTAAACTGACAGCTTATTGTGATGCTTTACCTTTTGACAGTAAGCTAGCTGTTATTTTGTTCAGAGGTTTGAAGGCTGTTTATCTGCTTTTGCATTTCCCGCTGCCATTCATCAGTTTCTATATCTTGGTGACACTGGCCTTGCCACCATCCCAATGACTCCTGTCCTTGTGCTACATCTATGCTGACCAGGGTATTGCCTTCACTCCTGGCCTCTAGATGTTCACCTATCATGCTCTTGCTTCCCTGCACCTCTTAAGGCAGCACTTACTGGCCAGCAAGGGGGCCTTTGGGTGGGTGTCCAGTTGCTTACTATGCCATGGAGGTCACATTGAACAGGGTCTGCTCTGAAGCCTGCTCTGCCTCTGGCCAGTGGGGCATGTAGCCCAGAGTGACTGGGCTGTAGCTTTGGGAAACACAGAAGGGTGGTTTTTTTTCTGGTCTGGTGTCAGTTTTTAGAAGGTGTCTGGGAGGTCCTGGGAACGCTCTTTCCTGAGGATAGAGAAGCTGTGGGAACGCCACCTTCTCTTGTGGGGAAGCCAGCTGCTTCCCACCATGCGTATTCCCCACTTCTTGTCTTATAGGTGAATGCACCTCGAACTGCAATGGGGATGCCATGTCTGGCCCTGGCGCCCGGCCTTCCACCCACCTCGGTCATTCTTGGAGCCACCCCGGCCCTGCCTGTGCCCATGCCTGTGCCCGTGCCAGGTACTGCTCTCTCCAGCCCCCCAGCCCCACCCTGTGCACTGCCTCTGAGCCAGTCTGGAAACCTGCTACCTGCTGCAGTGTCCTGGGGGCCCTGGGCAACCCAGGTGGGCAGCTGGTGCCCTTCTCAGGGGCCAGGCTTAGGCACAGTGGGCGTGCCTGTACTCCCCGTGCTCCTGCTGCCTCCTGCAGTCAGCTCACCTGGCCCCAGACTGCGGATCATGTAGCTCTGATTCACCACTTGCCAGATGGACCACGCCGGGCAGCCTGGTGGTGCTGGTATGGCTCAGCCTCCAAGTGCTGCCCTCCTGCTACCCTGGGGCCACCCCTGCTTCCTCTGTGCTGCAGACCCCCTTTGTTCCCTTTTTGGTTCCATGGTCTATACTCAACACTTTTGCACCCACTTCCTGTACTTGATCCAATGGTAGAACACTGTAATCACTTGCAGAAGTACAGTGCCTTGAATTCCAGCTTTTCCATTTCCGGAGGAAAAGAGATGTTAAAATCATATCAAAAAAAGGTGTGTTTCATTTACAATTGGCTTGTGTGTTGATACCTTGACTTGTCACCTTAAGCTGCAGAGATTTGAATGGTTTACAAATCTGAAGCTAAAGCCTGATCTTTAGTTTTCTGTTGTAAATGCCTTTAAAAGATTGAACTAGTGATCTTGAACATTGAAGTTGCAAATGTGGGAGTTCTACTTTGAGGTCAGTAAATGTAGGCTTTCAGGGCTCCCCAGAGCTGCAGCTTGGCCACTCTGGGCGCACACTGGGCTGCTGACCAGGGGCCAGAGTGGTCACTGATAGGAGACAGATGACACATACCCTTAACTGCAGGCTGCAGTGCTTCCAGCCAGCTGCCGGATGTGTGCTTGTGGGACCAAGTTGCTAGCGGTAGTGTTTCTTCTAGTAAGGAATTAAGCAACTGTGTTAGACTATGTAGAACCTTCTGGAAAGTATTAGGTGAGCAGAAGCCTTCATGATCCAAAATCTTTGTGAGAGTACATGAAGTGAGGGTATGTGTTTGGTATAACTGCCACCACCTTGGAGAAACTCTCTGGGGTCCCACCAGCCCTCCACTGGCCTTCCTCTCTTTTCTTTCATTTGTACTGAGGCCTGTGGCCCCTTGGGCCTTGCTCTGCTGTGCGCCCCAGACTATGCTTCCTACACTGAGGCTGCCCTGTTGGAGTGGGCACATTCTCCTCCTGAAGGCTTCAGCAGACTCATCCCATATGGGCACAGAACAGCTCACGGTGAGAGACGAAGGTCATTCTCTGCTCCCGCTGGAGGCAGCTGCTGGGGCTGCCCAGCTATGGAATGACTAGCTCTGCTGTACTTTGGGACCTCGTTAGGACTGGCTAAATTATTTTGGTTTAAATACATTATTCCATCAATTCAGTTAGAATTCAGTTTTCTAGGTGATTATGCAGAATCTTTCGTCAGGGCCTAGCACTAGTCAGAGATTCTCTGTTCCGTGCCCCTCAGCCCCCAGGTTGCATTCACATTGCCCTGTTCCTGGGGGCAATGGCAGTGCTCGCTCCTACCACCCTCAGCCACAACAGGTGGGAGGCGTGCATTTCTTGACTTGTACCCAACAGTCAGTAGCACAGAATCCCCGAGGTTGTATATGAGGAGAAAAATAAACATTTTTGCTTGAAAACAGTGTGGAACAACATCTTTCTTACTCTCTGTCCATGTAAAAGCTGAACCAACCAACCTCATAGGGAGCTCAGGTACTGGTGACTGGGTGGGTGGCACTGCCTGTCCTGGGTGTGGCTTCGTGCTCAGCTGTGGTGGGCACTGAGCCAGCTTGGCTCTGGGGATGAGAGGGGCGTTGGTCAGTGCCGGTGCCCTGCACATGGTACCCCCCAAGTCAGCCAGGTTTCAACCACACTGAACTTGAACTGCATTTAGGTGCTGGTTAATTGCCCTCCCCCTCCCAGCCCTAGACATACATCCATGTGGATTGTCTCCCTGAGCTGGGTTTGTGTGACCTGCTATAGAGAGTGAGGGGAGGTGTTGGACTCATATGCTATGTGAAGAGGTCCTGGGGCCAAGTTACCTACTGGTTGTGTGGAGAGCTCTGTTGCCCTGGGAGGCTCAGGGCTGTGGGCTTGGGGAGGCTCCCTGTAGGACTTACTACGTGGTCCTGCCAACTCCTCCTGGGCCTTGTACTCTGGGCTGGCACTCCTGCCCTGCCAGATGAGTGACTACCTGGTCAGCTTGCTATGACCCCCACTGAGATACAGGCTGTGTGCCTCTGCTCTTGGAAAGAGAGACTCCCATCCCAGAAGGAGAGACCTGTGTTTGTGCACCTCACCTTAGCACTGGCCCTGGGCAGAGGCAGTTTTCTTGGGTGGCTGCTTCTCCAACTGTGCTGGACCCTGAGGCAGCTTTCTCCCAGTGCTTTGGGCCTTGCGGGCATGGGCGGCCCAATTTGGTTCAGGTCCAGAGCAGTCTGGGTCTGTGCATAGTGTGCAGCCAGGCCTCTGGCCCTCGAAGTGGAGCATGACCACTCATCTGTGGTCCACCAGCACCCCCAGTGACCACTTGGGGCCAATAATGAGCTGTGGTGGTTTTGTTTTCTAGATTCTGAGAGTGAGGAGCCCGACTGAGCCCAGGCAGGCCAACTGACCCTGACGCGGGCCCGTGTCATCTCAGGCGGAGAAGGGGACGCTGGGAGCGCCAGGGCCTCGGCGAGCCTGAGCCGCCTGTCACTCACACTGTTTTGTAACCACTTTCTAAACATTTTTTATTCACAATTGGAAACACAAATGTAATGCAAGAATAAAAAATATTTTGGGGGAAAAAGGACTTTGGTTTTTGAAACTCTCCTTTCTGGTGGCCCCCAGCAGGCAGGCTACCAGGATGGTGGTGGGCATGTGGGCGCCGAGGAAAGTCTGGATCAGGAAGGTACAGATCCAGGTGCCTCTCAGCTGAGGTTCCTGGGTGTGGTGACTAACATTTGTGTTTTCCACGACTCTACAGTGCTCCTGGGAGCTCAAGTCCCTGGGGTCAGAAGGGTGATGAGGCCACTATGTCTCGGAGAAGTGGTGAGGCTGTGCATGGCTGACAGATCTAAACCCTGTTTTCAGGTGTTGTCCTCATCACACCCAGAGAAGACTCCCAGTCTCTGTAGAGTCCTGTAGACATAAGACCCCAGTAGGATGAGCATATCAACCATCTCCAGCACTCTCGCCTGGCCCCCAACTCCTGGCCTTTGCACACAGCCCCATTTATTATGTTGACACTCAGGACTCAGCAGCTCTGTCACCAGGAGGCTTAGGCAGGTATTCACAAAGGCCTGATGAAGCCTTGGCTCCGTGGGGTTGCAGGTGTGGCAGGACATGCTGCTGGCCCTAGCAGGGCTGCCCCTCTATGGTATTCAAAGCACACTGTGAAAAACAAAACCTGCCAGTGGCTCTGCAGAGTAAAATCACACCCAGCCTAGCCAGCAAGGATGAGAGCTTGAGCTGGGACCAAAGGCCTGGGTAGAATCCAGGAGTCACCACATCAAGAGGGGGAAAGTCATCTTTTTTTTTATTAATCTCTCACTGTGACCTAGTGCTTCCTCCAATGAAGGCCCTGAGGTAGAAGCAGCAGCACCTGGGGCATCAACATGGGGGTCCATGGATACTGCATGTCACACTGCCATTGTTGCTGGTGCCCCACAATGTCATTTATATTCCTTATGCCCAAATGCCAGACCCTGAGATTTAACTCCAGTCCAACCATGGATGAAAGAAGGGCAGCTCACGTTCCTATCTCCTGCCAACTTAAGTGCAAGTCAACATCATGGCTTCACCAGGGCTGAGCTGGTGTGGTTTGGGGTATCTCAGGGATTGCCCACCCCATGTCTTGTGAACTCTGCCCACATTGAGCAGACACTCTGAGCACGGGCAGTCACCTTGGAGCCCAGTCTCCTCTATGAAAAGGCAGAGCAGGTAAGCAGCCAACAGTTTTGTGTTTTCTTTTTTTAAAGATTTATTTATGCATACAAGAACTGGGGTACAGGCCAGAGGTGCAGAGGGTGAGAGGATTCACCAGAGACAGACTGGGGAGCAGAACAGGCAGATCTACTGAAATACACTGCTGAGAGGAGCAGCAGGCGAGACAGGAAAAGGTCTGCTGCGCCATGTGAGTAGCTCCCTGGCCAGGGATCAGACTTGTGCTGCAGAGGCTGTGGATAGCTTCACAGTGCTGTGCTTAACCCCTTGCACCACCAGGGAGGCCCAACTTTGTGTTTTCTTTGCATTCTTTTTGTCACCATCTATAGGTGGCTCACTTTACCAGTGTCCTTAGGAATTGGACAAGGAGTGCTCTGCTCTCTGAGTGAGCAGGGGAGCTTCACCCTGAGGACTCTGAGCCACCTGTCTCCAGGACCAGCACAGGGCAGCTGTACCAACTGGGGCCTGAAATGGAGGGGCACTAGAAACCCCCATAGCCAGTTGGCAGGCCCAGGAGCTGGATGGTGGGGACTGTGGGTGGCAGGGACCATGGGTGGCAGGTGATATCTCTGAACTCAAGTGCTGCTGTCTTTCCCCTTTAGAAAGCTTCTCTCAGGAAGTGCCATGCCTTGGATACTGCCAGGTGAGGAGCAGGTAGGCCTAGGTTCCGGATCAGCACAGACTGGGCCCAAGCAGAGGAGGGACTGGCTGGGGGGTTTGAAGGAGCAGGCCAGGAAGTAAAGGGAAGCTCAGGATAAAAGGAAGGATCAGTCATATATGGATTAAGTTGAGTTCCCAAACTTTACAGACTATCTATTTGCTGGGAGACAGGAGCCAGACAGAGACAGCTAACATAAGAGATTCAGGGTTCAGAGAAGGAGGTGAGGTTGAGACAGGTGGTTTTAGGGAGTGAAAGTGTTCTGTGTGACAGAGTCCTGGGGAGAAAGACATGAGGCCTGGGCACAACCCTCTGACAGTACACACAGGAGTGACCCCAACTGCACACTGTGGGCTTCAGCTGATAAGGAGATACCACAGGGATGACGCCCTCCTGTAGAGAAGGAATGACAGGGCCTGACTGACTGCAGGTGAGCTGTGAGCCACGTGGCCCAGAGTGGCCTGAGCCCCGGGCCCCATCCACCTGCCCCCTCCCCACTGCACAGTGAGCCACCCGTGTTCTCTCTGTGCATGAGCAGAGCAAGGGGGGAGAGGGCTGGCTAGTACCCACTGGCCGCCCCTCCCCAGCCCAGCAGTGATGAGCCCTGTTGCCAGACAGCTCTTTGTTTTGTTTTGTTTTGTTTTTTTGTTTTTTTTTTTTTTTTAAAGATTTATTTATTTATTCATACAAGCACTGGGCACAGTCAGAAGCGCGGGAGGGTGAGAGAATCCACCAGAGCCAGAGCGGGGAGCAGAGCAGGCAGAAGGACCGAAGTGCACTGCTGAGGGGAGCAGCGGGCGGGGGCGGCAGGAGAGGTCTGCGCGCCATGTGGGACCCTCCTCCGGTGGCCGGGGAGCAGCCGGGGATCGAACTGGCGCTGCAGAGGCTGCTGGCAGCTTCGCAACCCAGCGCTCAACCGCTGCGCCACCGGGGAGGCCCAGCTCTTTGTTTTGAAGACAGAATCTTCCACTTTTTTCTGTGTGGTCCGTGAGACCCACAGGACACTGGCAGTCGGTGACCAAGCACTGATAGCCTGAGACCAGTCATAGTGATGTGTGCCCTGCTGCAGCTGTGGGCTGCCCTGCTGGTGCTACTTGACTATATGACACAGGTGCCAGGAGTCCTGGAAGCTGCCTGGCAGTTACTCTTTTATTTTGCTCTGCTGGGCTTGACATTAAAGATCAGGCAGGTTTTGAGCAGAGGGCAAAGACCTTGGGGAATTCAACCCTCTTCTGACAAGTGCCCTGCGCAAGGCCCAAAGAAAACCAGCCAGGAGACAGCCTTCCCTGAAGCCCTCCAGGAACCAGACATGGAGCCCACTCCTCCCAAAGTACCACCTGTCGACCTGGCCACAGTGAAGCTGGCTCTGGGAATCCTGGGTCTCAAAAACCAGAAGGCTCATCTGCAAGCAATGAACAGCCAGCTCGACGAGCAGATCCAGAGGCTGCAGGTGCAGTTTCAGGAGGAGCTGGAGTCATACCAACAACGAGTCCTGGCGCTGGAGAGCAGGAGAGCTGAGGAGGAGGAGCAGCACCTGACCATCCTAAAGAAGCTGCTCAGCGCCTGCCAGGGCCTCGACTCCTCCCTTCAGGTTCGGGGCATGTACAAGAAGATCACCCACACCCAGAGCACAGCGCTGGAGAGAGCCTCTGCCTGCCACCTGAGAGAGCTCTGCCGCTGGGAGAAGAGGGCCCAGGAGAGCCAGGAGGCTGGTGTGTCCAAAAAGGAGCTCCAGGCACTCAAAATGAGCAATGGATGCCTCAGGGAGGAGCTGGAGACATGGGAGGCCAAATTCTGTCTTTCCACCTGTGAACCTGGTGCTCCTTGGGCTCCCCACTAGAGGCCCCGCACTTTCAGGGGCTTTCCTGGGCCCAGCTGTAGTGGGGCCTGGGGATGAGGTCCCCTCAGGTTTGGCCACCCCCACACCAGCTACTGATACTCCATCTACCCAGGCTCCTATAAACTGTCTTCGCTCACTTTGAATCCCCTCTTGATGCCTCATAGTTCCTATTGTAGTTTGATAGTTTTAAGATTGGATTTTAAATTAAAAATTGTTTACTATAATCCTATGAATACAGAACTTCTAGGTTGGGACCCTCTACCACTACATAGTTTAAGTTCTCTACGCAAATTTTGATAAATTCTCTCTTCCTCCAACAGTGTTGCTTGACGAGAGAGGCATTAACCACACTCGATTGTCTACACTGTAAACCAGCACTAGAGATCTGTTTGTATAACTTATGGGAACTTGACTGGTGTTCAAAAACAATGAAATGGTAAGACATGTAAACACCACCCCCTCCCGCTCAAGCCCATGAAACTATGAAACTAAAAACTGTGCATTTCGAAAACAATATTTAGAACAGGGAGAAGTGCACACACACTTTTCCCCACACTTTCCTAGTATGTACCCGAGAGCAGGAGAGCTGCTGCTGCACCACACAGGATTGCAGATGAAGAGCTGGGGTGGGGCAGGGGCAGAACTGTGCGGGATAATGGAGCAGAGCAGGGAGGCTGAGGCCCCCAGGCAGCAGCAGTGAGGGGTGGTCTGGGGGAGAGGGAGGAGCCAGTGAGGAGCTGACAGGGAACCTGGGACCTACCCTACCCCTTACCCCACCCACCATCCACTTCCTGATGAGCACTGGGCCTGGGGTGTGAGCCCAGAGCAGAGAGCCTCCTGGACAGCACCTGCAGACAAGACAAGGGCCAACACCTTGCAGAAAGTAGGACTGACGCCTCCATCTAGAGTAGATTTGTGTTCACAGCCTCATTTGCACAATAGAAGGTTGTGGAGCTTCGGAGAAGTCTTCAGCTCTGTTCTAGATTTGGGGGAGCAGCAGTGGGAAAAGCCAAAGTGTCCTATGGCCACATGGAGCTCACAACCCCCTGAGGGCAAGTCAGTAGGAAGCAAGATATTACTGCCTGTGTCCTTTGGCTCTGCAGACATTTCCACAGTGGATGGGGTGTCATGATAAGGGTTCACAGCAAGAGGGTACATTTAGCTGATATTAACATAGGTAAAGAGGCAGGTGGGAGTATTGGGAAATATTCCATCTGAAGAAATGGGGAGCATAAAGGTGCTGACACCAGGTTCTGGAGCTGGAGGAAACAATGGTTCAGGGTGTCTCAGGGGCTGCCCATCCCATGTCTCCTGGGCTCTTTGCCCACATTGAGCAGACACTCTGGGCATGGGCAGTCACCTTGGAGCTTGGTCTCCTTTATGAAATGGTAGAGCAGGCAAGCATGCAGCCAGCTAGTAGTTTTGTGTTTCCATTGCATTCTTTCTGTCACCATCTACAGGTGGCTCACTTCACCAGTGTCCTTAGGAATTGGACAAGGAGTAAGTGGGTCCCCAATATTGCAGTGCTCTGCTCGCAGAGTGAGCAGGGGACTTCACCTTGAGGACTCTAAGCCACCTCTCTAGGACCAGCACAGCGCAGCTGTACCAACGGGGGTCTCACATGGAGGGGTACAGGAGTGCCAGGGGCCATAGACCATGAATTCTGATACAAAATCTCCTGGTTTTCAGTTTTGTACTGATCCAAAGTAGACAGGTCAAGCAGCACAAAGACCCACATGCTGCATGTGTGTGTGTGTGGGGGGGGGGTGTCTCCCTTCTGCGATTTGCCTGTGTTGAGCTGGATCTGGGCCCTATAGTCTCAGACACAGCAAGGGTTGTAGATCCTGTCCCACCCTGCCCGTGCAGCGGTGAGGCGCGCTCTCCACATCCTCATGATTCACTGTGATCTTCAGTCCCTGGGACGAAGCCAACTTCTCCTTTGGCTGAATGGGCTTGAGGCCAGCCTTCCCTTCATCACAGGGCAGACACAGACCTGACTTCCCTTCCTTGTCTCACGGAGCTCGTGGCCGATCAGCTGAGATTAGAGGCAAGATTAGCGCTGTTTATCCTCTGAAACCAGCTAGAGGCAGAGAAAAATGTTTCCTGTGATTTGGGCTGACTGTGAGACTTCCCCGAGTGCAACCCATTTCTCTGTAAACGACCCACCAGTGAGGACCCCACCTGTAAATGAACCACCCATTTCTAAGTCACCCATGTGTAAACCAAACACCTGTAAACCATCCACCAGGAAATTAATGACCTATAAAGCAATCCTGTAAATCACCCACCTATAAGTCACTCACTCACCTGTGGATTGCTGCCACCTGTCACTGGAGCCCAAGCCTCTTACTCCAAGGGTGTGAACAATGTCTTCCTCCTCCCTTGTTTGGGTTTGTCCTTGGCAACTTCATGACCTGTGGAAAGGAGGAGGACCAGGAGCCTGGCTGGGGCTGGCTCAGGTGAGCAACCCCCACCTCAGCGGGCAGTGTGACTAGGGGACTACGCAGGTGCACAGGGAGCAGGCTCTTCTTCCCCATGGACATGGGGCCTCCTCAGACTTGCTGGCCCTTTGGTGCTGGACCTGGGCCTCTGGTGCCAGCTCTTTAAATCTCCAAATATTTGCATGTGAGTTACAAGTCCTGAGTGAGAAGGTGACATTTTTGCTCAAAGGACATTCTCTCCCCATCGTCTGCTGTACTATGCTAAATCAAGAAAGTATTTACTTGTGTAAATATTTTCATGAGAGGCTTTTGCAGTGCTCCATAAGCATTAGTTAAGCCACTGGCAGCCCCTGGTGCTGGGGGATGGCCAGCATCCAGATTTGGGACTAGAAAGCCCTGTGGCCAAGTGGCAGGCCTGGAACCTGAAAGGTGAGAATTGTGGGTGGCAGGGTGTAGGGTAAGTGAAAAAGTATCAAGCTTTTCCACCCTCTCACCATTAGCATTAATGATGGATCCCTGAGGTCCTACATGCATGCCTGATGGCAGACACATGCATGTCTATGTGGGCATGCATAGGTGGGCATACCTGGGCTGAGACGGGGCTTATAAGGACAGCGTCATGGAGATACCAGCAGAAAAAGCAACAGCAGAATGAGAGCAGAACCAGCAGAGAAGCAGATACCACAAGAGAATGCCAGAGAGCCCAGAAAGAGTGAAGATTTGCCGGGGTCCGGGAGGGAGGCCTGCCATCCTCCCGGCCCCCCGGCACTGCTGCCTGCCATGTACCTGGTAAAAGCTCAATAAAAGCCTGAAAAGCTGCCGAAGGCTCCAGGACTCTCTTTTACCTGTCTGCTCAGATCATAGCGATTCTGCACTGTGCCATCCTGGCACTACACAGGGACTGTACTGTGGCAGGGATGGTGAGTGGTGAAGCAGCATGGCAGGTATGGCAGGTGTCAGGGACAGCAGTGGTGGTCAAGTTGGTGCAATCTCTGAGCTCTTGTGCTGCTGTCTTTCCCCTTTAGAAAGCTGCTCTCGGGAGAGCCATGCCTTGGAGACTGCCAGGTGAGAAGCAGGTAGGCCTAGGTTCCGGGTGAGCACAGGCTTGGCCTGAGAGAGCAAGGACTGGCTGCTCACTCACTGGTGGGCCCTGTGTGCAGGGCCAGGCCAGAAAGGAGTGCTGCCTTACACAGGTGCTTGGGAGCCAGGCTTTGTGGGGGTCTCAAGAGGCAACACCAGCACCTCATAATTCTGATGCTCCCTGTGGTGGTATGCAAGCACGGGGCCATTGCCACTCTGGGCTGTGGCACTGAGGATGCCAGGACATGAATAAAGGAGAATCCTGGAGCCCTCAGTGGCTTTTTCAGGCTTTAATGCTCTTTCTACACCAATTGTTGTGGGGCAAACCTGCAGGCTGGCAAGGCAGGGAGGCGGGGGGGGCCAGGAGGGTGGCAGGCCTCCTAACCCTCAGGGAATCTGTATGCTTTTCTTTGGGCTCTCTCTGGCGTTCATCACAGTGTCTTCCTCTTGCAGCTGTTGCTTGTCCTTTCTTGCCATTCTCCACTGCCACCGTTCCTAAGTGATGCTGCCCTTATAGACTCCACCTCCAGGTTCAGGCGTGCACATTATGCATGCCCATGCCATACACTAGGTGTCCACCATCAGGCATATGTGCCCTGCACCCATGCTCCTAAGTGCCTTCTGCACTCAAGGCCTCAGGTGGCAGCCACAGAGGCTAACCTTCATTTACTCTACACACCCTCTGAAAGCCAATCTTCACTTACTCTACACCTCCTCAGAAGGCCAATGACGGAACAGTGGAACATCTTTACTAAACTTTTCTGTAAAAAATATTAACTTTTTTCATCACAAAGTTGGTTTAGTGAAGCAGACTGAGCCAATCTCTCATTCTTACTGTCAGCAGCAAGTTTACACAAAGGTATGGGACAGAGTGATTAGAAAAAGCCACACTCAGAGCAAAACGTGGGAGGTGCTGTGTGTGAAGGACTCCAAAAGGTGATGGCAGACCGTAAGCTCCCCAGGGATGTGCAGAACCAAACTCCTTGCTTACAGAGGCCTGGATGCCCAGCGTGGGAGGACAGCAGGAGCCAGTGGGTGACGCCTCCTCTCCCTACTTTTGTAAGTCCTGCAACATCAGGATGCCTCCTCTGCACAGGAAGACAGAGGGAGACACACAGACAGAGACAGAGACAGTGAGAGGGAGACAGGAAAAGGGGAAGGTGGAGGAGAGAGACAGCAAGGGAGAGCGATGGAGGGAGAGACAGAGAAACAGGGAGAGAAAGAGGGAGACACGGAGACAGGAGATATCGAGGGAGAGAGACAAAGTGAGAGAAATAGAGGGAGAGACAGAGACAGCGCAGATGGTTCCAGAAGTCGAAGTGGTTGAGTGGGTGGAGTAGAACAGCCACTCCGGGAACCGCTGCAGTAAATGCTGCCTGTTGGGAAACCCTGTTTCCCCATTTTCTCCAGAGCTGGGTGGCCAAGGGACTCAGCTCCTACCGCTACTCAAGAGGGGACATATGGCAGATGGAGCTCCAGCCCCCAAGACTGAGCACACTTACAAGGCTGATGATCTGGGGGGAGTCTGACTCTGAAGTCTGTTGGAGCTGGGTGGGTTTGAAGGAGAAGGCCAGGAGGGAGAGGGAACCTGGGGATCAAGGGAAGGTTCAGTCATACATGGATTAAGTTGAGTTTCCCAAACTTTAGAGACCAACTACTTCCTTGAAGCCAGGAGCCAGGGAGAGCCTAAGATACCTTCCCAGATGGAACCAGCTTAGCTCTGGGGTGTCCTGTGAGCTCCCCACAACCTAAATACTGATCAGAACACATTATCTGGAGGAAGCTTCCTTGGTAGGGAACACAGCCAGTGACACCATGAGGACACTGTTCATGGGATTTAACAAAAAACTTTAACAAGGTCAGTGTCTATCTTACATCTTTTTAAAAACAATGGAAGCTTTATTGGCATATAATTGACACACAATAAGCTGCATGTAAAAGTACACTAAGCCATTCTGACAGATGCACCACTTGTGAAAATGTCACAATCAAAATAGTTATCAGATTTCATGCATCAGACAGGATTGTAACAGGAACATGAAAATTCACAACTTGTTATATCAAGAAAAGTAAAGACAGAAAAAAAGTAAAATCACAAACCTAAATAAAAATTTTAAATAGCTACATTGGGGGCCTCCCTAGTGGTGCAAGGGGTTAAGCACAGCACTGTGAAGCTATCCACAGCCTCTGCAACACAAAATTTGATCACACGGTGGGCCAGGGAGCTGACCCACATGGCACAGCAGACCTCTCCTGTCTTGCCCACTGCTCCCCTCAGCAGTGTATTTCAGTATATCTGCCTGTTCTGTTCCCCACTGTCTCTGGTGAATCCTCTCACCCCCCACACCTCTGGCCGGTACCCCAGTTCTTATATACATAAATAAATCAATCTTTAAAAAAAAAAAAAAGCTACACTGGTCTGGAGCATTATCTAATCAGCCTCTCAACATGGAACATTTTATTGCTTTTCCAGTTTTTATTATGAGAATTGTTTGTTGGTAAATATGTGTGTGTTTATAATGTTACTCCCAAGAGTGACTTTTGGATTACAACTCCAGAGCTGGAATACAGGGATTGTGGGTGTTTTAATGTTGGAACTCTGCTAAGACAATTCTACTAAGCCTGAAATACTCCATTTTTGGATGAATTCTCACTTTGTAGATCTTGGAAATCAGCCCTTTGTGGGATGTATTATAGGCAAATATCTTGGGGAGACTGAAAGACTTGGGAGAGGGGGAGGGCTCCCTCTACAGGCCAACCTGATTCCAATTTTAGTTCAGGTTTCTTTACACCTGTACACAAACTTGACAAGGCAGACCGTGGTAGACAAGAAAAGTAAAGAGGACAGGACAAGTGGAACTTTAACAAAGTAGATATGAATCTAAATATATCCATGGTCAGTTACTCATCATGGTGTAAATACATGAATTCAAAGACAGACTGCAGAACAAAAAGTAATACGTACAGAAACCACACCTTTCTATTGTGACCACGACGTGCACATTAATATCCAATCAAACAGAGCCAGCGAACACAAGAGATTGAGAGTTCAGGGAAGGAGGTGAGGTTGAGACAGGTGGTTTTAGGGAGTGAAAGTGTTCTGAGTGACAGAGTCCTGGGGAGAAAGACATGAGGCCTGGGCACAACCCTCTGACAGTACACACAGGAGTGACCCCAACTGCACACTGTGGGCTTCAGCTGATAAGGAGATATCACAGGGATGATGCCCTCCTGCAGAGAAGGAATGGCAGGGCCTGACTGACTGCAGGTGAGCTGTGAGCCACGTGGCCCAGAGTGGCCTGAGCCCTGGGCCCCATCCACCTGCCCCCTCCCCACTGCACAGTGAGCCACCCGTGTTCTCTCTGTGCATGAGCAGAGCAAGCGGGGAGAGGGGTGGCTAGTACCTACTGGCCACGCCCCCCCCCCACCAGCCCAGCAGTGATGAGCCCTGTTGCCAGGCAGCTCTTTGTTTTGAAGACTGAATCTTCCACTGTGTTCTGTGTGGTCCATGAAGCCCACAGACACTGGTAGTTGGTGGCCAAGCACTGACAGCCTAAGAGCAGTTATGGCCATGTGTGGCCAGCTGTTGCTGCAGCAGCTGTGGGCTGCCTTGCTGGTGGGCTGCCAGCTGAGGGCTGCCTTGACTGCATGGCACAGGTGCCAGGAGTCCTGGAAGCTGCCTGGCAGTTACTCTTTTACTTTGCTCTGCTGGGCGTCTCATTGAAGATGAGGCAGGTCTTGAGCAGAGGGCAAGGAACTGGGGAACTCAACCCTCTTCTGACAAGTGCCCTGTGCAAGGCCCAAAGAAGAACAGCCAGGAGTCAGCCGTCCCTGAAGCCCTCCAGGAACCAGACATGGAGCCCACTCCTCCCAAAGTACCACCTGTTGACCTGGCCACAGTGAAGCTGGCTCTGGGAATCCTCAGCCTCCAAAACCAAAGGGCTCATCTGCGAGTAATCAACACCCAGCTCGATGAGCAGATCCAGAGGCTGCAGGTGCAGTTTCAGGAGGAGCTGGAGTCATACCAACAACGAGTCCTGGCGCTGGAGAGCAGGAGAGCTGAGGAGGAGGAGCAGCACCTGACCATCCTAAGGAAGCTGCTCAGCTCCTTCCAGGGCCTCAACTCTGCCTTTCAGGCCCAGGGCCTGTACAAGAAGATCACCCACACCCAGAGCACAGTGCCAGAGAGAGCCTCTGCCTGACACCTGAGAGTTCCGCTGCTGAGAGCAGAGGGCTGAGGGGTGCCAGGAGGCTGGCACGTCGAAGGAGAAGGAGCTCCAGGAGCTCAAGACCAGCAATGGATGCCTCGGGGGAGGAGCTGGCCACAGGGGAGGCCAAATTCATTCCCCCACCGCCTCAGTGAGTCTGGTGCTCCTTGGGCTCCCCCCTAGAGGCCCTGCATTACCAGAGCTTTCCTGAGTCCAGCTGTGGTGGGGCCTGGGGGTGGGGTCCCTTCAGGTTTGACCATCCCCACACCAGCTACTGACACCCAGGCATCTGTGAGCTGTCTCCCCAGCTCACCTTGAATCCCCCATCAATGCCCTATAGTTCCCATTATAGTTTCATAGTTTTAAAATTTTATATAAATTAAAAATTGCTCACTCTAATCCTATGAGTATGGAATTTCTTAGTTGGGACCCTCCATGGTGGAAGTTCTCTATGCAAATTTTCATAAAATTCCCTCTCCCTCTATCACTGTTGATTGATAAGAGAGAGGCATTAACAATACTTGATTGTCTACACTGTAGGCTGGCACTAGAGAGCTGTATGTATAACTTATGGGAACTTGATTGGTTTTCAAAAACAATGAAATGATAAGACATGTAAACACCACCCCCTCCCGCTCAAGCCCCGTGGGGTGCTTGTTAGTGTGCCCTATGGTCCCAGTTCTATTTGGGAACACTCTGGTCTCTCCTTATTCACTTATACTTCTTTTTAATTGAGTATTCTTATTGAAACACCTAAATTTCAGGCAGTGAAAATAACTTTTCCCTTGTTTACACACACATTCACACAGAAATGCCCATGGCAGATACAAGATCCTTTAGTGGTGATGTCAGTATACAGGAAACTATGAAACTAAAAAGTGTGCATTTTGAAAACAATATTTAGAACAGGGAGGAAAGTGCACACACTCTTTTCCCCACACTTTCCTAGTATGTACCCGAGTGCAGGAGAGCTGCTGCTGCACCACACAGGATTGCAGATGAAGAGCTGGGGTGGGGGGCCTCCCCTGGTGGCGCAGTGGTTGAGTCTGCAGCGCCCGTTTGTTCCCAGGCTGCCGGCGAGGGTCCCACAAAAAAAAAAAAAAAAAAAAAGAGCTGGGGTGGGGCAGGGGCAGCGCTGTGCAGGATAATGGAGCAGGCAGGGAGGCTGAGGACCCCAGGCAGCAGTAGTGAGCAGGTGGCCTGGGGGAGAGGGAGGAGGAGGTGTCATCCAAGCCAGTGAGGAGCCGACCTGGGAACCTGGGACCTGCCCTACCCTTTACCCCATCACCCCCTTCCCCCTTCCTGATGGAGCATTGGCAGCCAGCCACCTCGGGCCTTGGGGTGTGTGCCCAGAGCGAGAGCCTCCTGGACAGCACGTGCAGACAAGGGCCAACACCTTGCAGAAAGCAGGACTGACTCCTCCATGTAGAGTAGATTTGTGTTCACAGCCTCATTTGCACAATAGAAGGTTGTGGAGCTTTGGGGAAGTCTTCAGCTCTGTTCTAGATTTGGGGGAGCAGCAGTGGGAAAAGTCAAAGTGTCCTATGGCCCCACAAAGCTCACATTCCCCTGAGACAAGTCAGAACGCAAACAAGATATTACCGCCTATGTCCCCTGGCTCAGCAGACATTTCCAGAATGGATGGGGTGTCAGGATAAGGGTTCATTTGAGATGCTGGAACTTTGACTTCTGAGATTATATGGATGAATTAAAACATTTTGGAAATGGAATGAGTGTATTTTGCATGCAAAAAAGGTGAATTTGGGAGGGGCACAGGCAGAATGTTAGAGCTTGATTTCATTTTCTTCAAATGTTGATGTTGAAACCTAACACCCTGTAGGATAAATGAAGATTGCTCAGCCTTTTGGGCTTGTCTCTGTGGCTATCTACTGGGGCCTTGAATGCAGGAGGTGCTTGGGAGCGTGGACGAGGGGTACACATGCCAGTCTCCTGACACCTTCCCCACTCCAGCCCCTCTGCCTGCCCTGCACCTGGTTGCCTCCCTACCAACAGTGTAGAAAAATCATTCAAGGCCTGAAAAAGTCACCGAGGGCTCCAGGACTCTCCTTTACCCATCTGACAGGATCCACAGAGAAGCTGCCCTGGGCCTTGCTGGCATAACACACCCAATGTGATGGCATTTGGAGTTGGGGCTCTTAAAAGGAGGTTGGGTCATAAGACTGGAGCCCTCCAGAATGAGATTAGTGTTATTTATAGAGAATATATATTTTAGTCATCTTATTTGGCCTTCATCCACAGTTACTAGCTCACAGTTTGCAAAAGTTTTAAGATCTCCTAAGTTTTGCCAGTGTTAAAGGTATTGTTAGGGGGAAAGGATGTCCTGAGCTAATTCCATACAGACTTTGTGGACTCCGCCCCCACTCCAGACTAAAGCCATCAAGACATTGGGAAAGACAAATCCCATCACCACCAATGGGAGGGTTGCTGGGACCTGAGGGCGGAGTTAAGCTGCCAGGTTTGGTATAAAATCAGACACACGGGCCTTGGGGTTCTCTCTCTTGGCTTCACAGCTCTTGGCTCACTGCCAGCTCTCAGCGTGCCATTGGGATTCCAGGTCGGTAGAATGAGTAAGACACATTAAGACTTTATCTCCCTCTTTTCTCCCTAAGTTGTACATTTCCTCATTTCCCCTTCCCTTGTAAATAAACCTTTTATTAACATTTTGTCTGTGCCTACATTTGAGTATTATTAAGTCCCTTTTAAGCGCATGGGTGGGGACCCATGGTCAGGCAACCTGTTTTATATTGGGGTTGCCCTGTAACAGTATCATTTGCTACATTCATGAGGTAACTTTTGGAAAACACCTGAGGATGGGGGTGGGAGCTGCTTGCCAAGGAAATCAACACAAATAGAAGGTGGAACCTTCAGTCCTCTCCTCAGACCACTGAGGAGGGAAGAGAGGCTGGAGATAGAGCAGTGGCCAATGACCTAATAAGTCATGCCTACTTAATGCCCCTCCCCCGAAGTTGGAGCTATGGACACAGGCACATACAGAGTCAGCATTTACCAGAACAGAAACTCTGCTGGAGCTACACTGGGTTAGAGTCTTTATGGGGCCACCTAGCTGTGTGCTAGAGCAGAGTGCCTGTGTTTGAGACCAGAACTGCAGGCCAAACCTTGGTGAGGGTGAGGGAAGGCAGTGGGGGAGACACTCTTTCCTACTGTTTATCTCCAGGAGTTTCACAGAACCTCTGGGGGAAGATCAAAGAAAACTCCCTCTTTCTGGTGGAAGGAGGTGAAGAAACCATTGGAATGTGCCCAGAGCAGTCTGCTCACACTCCACTGCCAAGAAGAGCTGCCCCACTTGAACCCAACCAGTCTTCTTGTTTCACCTCAAATGAGGGAGACTGGCAGAGGTGACTGAGAAGGTTTGTAAAGATCACATCTCAAGGTCATCGGTCATAAGAAAATATGAGTCCTACTCATGGAATTTGTGCGCTGCCCTCACACCATGCAACCACATCCTAAGGCTTCTATATAGTTAGGGAATTGGAATGCAAGCAACTGCATATCTCAGATCTTATGTAGGAAGAACTCTTCACGGAAACACAAAGAAATAGGGGGTACAAAAACAAGGCAGGACAGGAATTTAGCCTCTGACATATCTAGTCATGCACTAAATAGTGACATTCTGTGAAGACTGCATCTACAACTTGGTTCCCAAGTTCCCATTCCACCTAGGGTTTTACATCAGCTTTACACATTCTGTGTATACCACGTCTCTGTATAGATCATTTCCGCTTGTGTTTGAGTTAATCTCATATTGTTTTGTTCATCATAGCCCCTAAGAACGCAAAACCCACTGCTAAATTTGCCAGTAAGAGGCCACATTGAGTAATTGCCCTGGCAACAAAATTAAAAGTAATTAAGGACTACAAAAGTGGATAATCAGTGATGATTATTGCTCGCCAGTCAAGCACGTCCAATTCCACCAGAGCTAAGATCCTGAACTAGAATGAAGTTGTAGAAGCTGTTGAAAGATCTGCTTCATTGAAAGCAATGAGACTAACAAAAATTTGAGAAAGGCCTATATCAGAGAGAAACTTCAACCTGGATTAAAGAGCTGACACTGAAGCACAGGCTCTTAGCACCATGATGCGCAAGCAGAATTTGCAGTGTTGAAAAGCCTGAACC